TGTATTAACACTAAAGATTTTGATGTCTTACTAGAGCGTCTTCAGTCATAACATTGGGGACATGGTTTCATTTTCCACTTTAGCATATTTTTTTTAAAAAGTAAGTGTTAGGAGTTAAAAGGGAGTGAATAAATCTGTGATGTTTACAGTGCAGACAGGATTTTTTTTGTCCATTAAAACCCACTGGAGAGTGTTAATAAAACATATAAAGATATTTTTGCTACATGTTGAAAATTATTTAGTGTTTGCACTTTATTTTTTTTTAACATTTACAAGTGGATGTCTTAGTTATCTAGTGCTACTCTAACAAAGCGAAGTGAACAACCAGGTGCACTGCTCGAAGTTCTGCCCATTGGGAGGATTTCCCTTTACCACTATCCTTCAGGGAGGTCCCAGAAAGGGGCTGCAGTGCTGCTGCTGTCCACTTTGAAGTGCTGCCTGCATGTCGCACAAAACCATCTGTAAAGCAGGCATGAGTTTTCCTCAGTTAGCTGATTATAAGGAACTTCCCATGAGGCCATAGGTGCAGACTGGGAGATGGAAGGTAATGTGGCAGGAGTGGAGACCATGGGCATTTGGACCACTTCCTCGTGGAGACCATGGGCATTTGGACCACTTCCTCATGCAGCTTACTTGTGCCTTTAGGTCCTGCTTGGGCCCAATCTCACATCTACCACTTCTATTTAACGATGGAGTGCTGCTGTACACATCCAACTTTATGGCTCTCTGAGTCAGACAAGACCCAGTTCATGATGGGCAGCTCAGACCACATGATTACCTGGTGGCCCTTGGTTAAGTGTTCAGTCTCTTCTAAGATCCAGTAATAAGCCAAAAGCTGTTTCTCAAAAGGAGGGTAGTTATCCGCAGAGGATGGCAGGGCTTTGCTCCAAAATCCTGAGGGTCTGTGCTGTGATTCACCAATAGGGACCTGCCAAAGACTCCAGACAGCATCTCTATCTGCCACTGATACTTCAGGCACCATTGGATCAGCCCAATTATATGGCTGAAATGGCAGAGCAGCTTGCACGGCAGCCTGAACCTGTTGCAGAGCCTTCTCTTGTTCTGGTCCCCACTCAAAATTAGCAGCTTTTCAAGTTACTTGATAAATACGCAGGAGCAGCACACCCAAATGAGGGATATGTTGCCTCCAAAATCCAAAGAGGCCAACTAGGCACTGTGCCTCCTTTTCAGTTGTGAGAGGGGCCGGATGCAGTAACTTTCACTTTAGAAGGAATACCTTGACATACCTTATACCACTGGATCCCTAGAAATTTCACTGAGGTAGAAGGTGTCTGAATTTTTGTAGGATTAATCTCCCAGCCTCTAGGATGCAAATGCTTTGCCAATTAAGTCCAGAGTCATTGACACTTCTTCCTTACTAGGTCCATAAAAATAATCTCTTTTATATCTCAGAAGAGACTGATTTAAGATACACCTTACACTAATACTGCCTCATTAACATAACAAAGAAAACCCATTCCCAAAGAATTATAAAACCACAGGTATAGGGGTTAGGATTTACAGTGCATATTTTGGGGGGACACAATTCGATCCATAACAGTGTTCTATGTGCATCTTTTCATCACGTTTTATGTTTTAACACTTAGAAGTAATCATTTGCTAAAAGGAAGTCCATTACTTTTAAATCTACAGTCCGAGAAATCTAAATCATCAAAATTTGTTACTAGTACTGTTTGGTGTGAAAATATGCACTATAGCCCACACCATAAATATAATCTACTAGTATGTGCATCCAGCGATTCTCAGATTTTTTTGTCTCAGGGCCCTGTTCACTCTTAAATTATTGAGGACTCCAAAGAATTTTTTTTATGTGAATTCTATCTGTACGTATTTATGTATTTGAAATTAAAACTAAGAAATTTAAAAATACCAATGCTTTTAAAAATAATAGCAAACCCATTGTTGTTGTTTGCCATCGAGTCGATTCTGACTCCTGGTGATCCTGTACGACAGAGTAGAACTGCCCCACAGGGTTTCCTAGGCTGTAATCTTTATGGGAGCAGACCACCAGGTCTTTTCTCCCTCAGAGTGGCTGTTGGATTTGAACTGCCAACCTTTTGCATTGCAGACAAGCACTTAACCATTGCACCATCAAAAAAACCCAAACCAAACCGCTTGATACCGAGTCCATTCTGACTCGTAGCAACCCTGTAGGACAGAGAAGAACTGCCCCATAGGGTTTCCAGGAAGCGTCTGGTGGATTTGAACTGTCAACCTTTTGGTTAACAGCCGAGCTCTTAACCACTACGCCATCAGGGCTCCATTGCACCACCAGGACTCCTTAATAAACCCATTGTATGTTAGTATGTATACCATTTTGATGAAAAATAACTATTTTCCAAGGAAATTAGTAAGAAGAGTGGTATTCGAGTTATTGTGCCTCCTTAATGTCTGACTTAAAGATAGCTGGATTCTCAAAAAACACAATAAATGCTGGAGAGGTTGTGGAGAGACTAGAACACTTATACACTGTTAGTGGGAATGTAAAATGGTACAACCACTTCGGAAATTGATTTGGCACTTCCTTAAAAAGCTAGAAATAGAAGTACCATACAATCCAGCAGTCCCACTCCTTGGAATATATGCTAGAGAAATAAGAGCCGTCACACAAACACCCATGTTCATTGCAGCACTGTTCACAGTAGCAAAAAGATGGAAACAACCTAGGGCCTATCAACGGATGAATGGATAAACATTGTATATCCACACAAGGGAATACTGCGCAACGATAAAGAACAATGGTGAAGCCGTGAAACATAAAATGGAGGAAGCTGGAGGTCATTAGGCTGAGTAAATTTAGTCAGTCACAGAAGGACAAATATTGTATAAGACCACTATTATAAGAACACAAGAAAAGGTTTAAACAGAAGAAAACATTCTTTGATGGTTAGGAGGGTGGGGAGGGAGGGTGAGGGTTATTCACTAACTAGATAGTAGACAAGAATTAGGTGAAGGGAAGGCCACCACACACTACAGGGGAAGTCAGCACAAGTGGACTAAACCAAAGCTAAGAAGTTTCCTGAATACAGTCAAACACTTGGAGGGACAAAGTAGCAGGGGCAGGGGTCTGGGGACCATGGTTTTAGGGGACATCTAGGTCAATTGGCATACCAAAGTTTATTAAGAAAGTGTTCCACATCCCATTTTGGTGAGTGGCATCTGGGGTCTTAAAAGCTAACTAGCGGCCATGTAAGATGCATCAATTGGTCCCACCCACCTGGAGTAAAGGAGAATGAAGAACACCAAAGACACAAGGAAAGTATTAGCCTAAGAGACAGAAATGGCCACATAAACGAGAGACTGCATCAGCCTGAGACCAGAACTAGTTGGTGCCTGGCTACCACTAGTGACCGCCCTGACAGGGAACACAACAGAGAGTCCCTGATGGAGCAGGAGAAAGGTGAGGTGCAGAATTCAAATTCTAGTAAAAAGACTAGACTTAATGGTCTGAGACTGGAGGAACCCCGGAAAGCATGGCCCCCCGGACTCTCTATCAGCCTAGAACTAAAACAATTTCCGAGGCCAACTCTTCAGACAAAGATTGGACTGGACTATGGGACATAAAATTATACTCGTGAAGAGTGTCCTCCTTAGCTCAAGTAGATACATGAAACTAAACGGGCAGCTTCTGTCCGGAGGTGAGATGGGAAGACAGAGAGGGTCAGGAGCTGGTTGAATGGACATGGGAAATCGGGGGTGGAAAGGAAGAGTGTGCTGTCACAGTATAGGGAGAGCAATTAGAGTCACACAGCAATGTATGAATAAATTTTTGTATAAGAGACTAACTTGAAATGGAAATTTTCACTGAAACTACAACAATAAACAAAAAAAAAATAGCTGGATTCTCATATCTGCTTCTGTCTTCAGTGTGTTGCATTACTGCATTTATAATGCAGCCTTTGGAAAATTCCGCTATACACTGAGAGGCAACTGATATCGTAGTGTTGTGAAAATAGTCTTGACTTTGGGGATCTTTGGACAATAGTTTGAGAACTGCTTCTCTATACTATTAATGCGTACACTTAATACACCACTCAAGGAATAGCTCAAGTAGAGGGGTTAAAGTGAAATGTTTGCCTTGTAGAGAGTATAGCTTAAACGTAGATTGCACATCTCTCTCAGGTGGATATATTTACAAAGGAACACCTTTTGTAAAATAGGTTATTATTATATTTATACTTAGACTGAAAACATTTATTCAAATATATATTTTCTTATCATTGGTAAACTACAGTCCTTTTTTTACTTTTTTCTTGGAATTCATTTTTAACCCGTGCAGCTTATCCAAAAATTTATTTGGTTGTCAGTGGAGGAATGATTCAGTTTCTAGAAATATTTAACTATGATCTATTTCAAGATCATTCCAATGTTACTTATATAATATAGAGTAGAACTATGAAATGAAATATTGAGACTGTTTTGTTGTTGAAATTTAGCTTGTAAATTTCATGTCTGTAGTCAATCTTTGGTTCTTACATAATAGTATAATGTATTGCATTTTGACATATTTAATACATGAGATCAAAACCCACTGAAATGCTTCATTTGGAAGGTAATATTTTAGCTGTGTTTCCAATTTGGGGCAAAGAGCACAGTACTTCTGCCTTCAGCTATTCCTGAGTTTGGACTTGACAGAGGTTAATCACCTGTCTTTTGGGTAGGGGGAGGAGTGAGGGAGAAACTTTCCTTACAGCGTCATCTATTGAAAAGAATATAAACTATAGATTCACTTAACTGATTCACGTAGACAGTGATGCCTGGTTATTTCTTCAGTTTGAAGATAAAGTATTGGGAAGGGAGCAGCACTCTCAGTCATCCTACCTATATTTCACATTGGAGAGCATGTTTATAAAATTGATGAAGTAAATAAACATGATCATAATTAACAACCAAAATATGTTTAGTTTGGACTTGTTGCATGGGTGCTGCCATCATTCAGAATGTCTTTTGATAAACATTTTTCTTTTTTTTCCAAATAGTTTGCGGAGAAGTTTCTGTTGGGGAGGAAGAAGGTGAAGGTGAAGCTGGTTGGATTGAAGGAGCTGCGATCCTCTTGTCAGTAGTGTGTGTGGTATTAGTAACAGCTTTCAATGACTGGAGTAAGGAAAAACAGTTTAGAGGTTTACAGAGTCGAATTGAACAAGAACAGAAGTTCACTGTCATCAGGGGTGGTCAGGTCATTCAGATACCTGTAGCTGACATTACTGTTGGGGATATTGCTCAAGTGAAATATGGTAGGTATAAAAAAAACAATACACCTGACACTACAAGTAAAATTATTGTGATCTTGTTTACTATAGTTTAGCACGTAACTGCTTTTTGTTTTAGGTGATCTTCTTCCAGCTGACGGCATACTTATTCAAGGCAATGATCTTAAAATTGATGAAAGTTCACTGACTGGTGAATCTGATCACGTTAAGAAGTCTTTAGATAAAGATCCTTTACTTTTATCAGGTATGAATTTCTTTTATAAATTGAACTGTTCTTTTCCCTCACAACTATATACTTTTGGTCAGCAAATATGTTTTCCCTAATCACCTATACTGTGAAGAGGATTCTGTATTTTATGCCAGCTTCTGTCCTTCTAATTCTTAGAAGGCTTTTTTTTTGTTAGCTGATAGAGACATTAGAGATCTTTGAAGCCAAAACTACATTTTACAAATGAGGAACCTGAGTCCATAAAATCGTTAGATTTAAGAGTCAAACAATGGGTTAATGTAATGATAAAACTATAGATCTGATGACATCTGTTGAATTGTTCTGTTTTTTCTGTACCACATTTAAGGCCTGTTGAAGTATAAAATTGAAAATGAATATGTGTTTAAAGCAATTTTTTTTTTTTTAAGAATGTTAAAATTCTTAAAGTTTACCTAATCCAACTCCCTCCTTAATTGCCAAGGAATGAGTCTGAGATATAACTATCTAAGATTATTTGACTAATCAACAGTAAGTCCAAGAGTAGCACCCACTTCTACTAGTCAGGATTGAATTTGCTAATGGTTAAGACATGTTCTGGGAGTAGAAGGAGAAGAATTTGTGGTAAGTAAAGAGTGCTGTTTGAGAGGAAGAAGAGGTGGGTGTCTACTTGGGAGGCTCTTGTAACAGCCTAACTGTGATAATCTGAACTAAAGTTAATTAAAAATGAAATGAAAGGGATAATGAGGAAAATTACAAGCTGGAAAATTATAGCTAAATGGAAGGAAACCGGAGTATAACATGACTCTAAAAGCGTGTCCGTTCTTTAACTTTTGATTTCCAGGTCTTACTGTTAATTTTTAGTATTCTTTAAAGAATTTAAAAAATTGTCTATATGAGCTATATTTCAATTGAATTTATACTCGAGTTTTGGTGAGGCAGTGTTAGTGGAATGCTAACATTTTATACATTGTCAGAAGATTCTTGCTTTTTTAACTAACACTTTCATAGCTATAATTTTTCAGTCCTTCTCTGTGAACTTTATATTTTAACTGTTTGAACATGATTTCACCAGTCAAACCTGTGGTATCCTCGTAAGGGTCAATTAAGTTAGAATCACAACTTCAAAGCACATTACCTGTTTAAGATTTGTAAACATGTGCTGAGAAAGTTTATTGCAGAACATCCCCACCACTAAAAATCAAAGTAATTAAACGTGTATTGTGTTTATGCATGCATACACGTATACATGTGTATAATTACTTGTACAAATGTATATAAACAGTATTATTTAGGGTAAAAGTTCTGATGTTCCTTTGATAAAATCTTGAGTTTTGTATACCTTCAATATCCTACACCATTTAGAAAACTAGTGTTCTATTTGGGTTGTTTATTTATGTTATTTTGTTTGTTATTCATACCAAATAGATAGAAAGATGTTGGATATTTAAGTATATTTTGGATATATTTATATTTGGTTATTAAGTGTATTTAAGTATAATGTATATGTATTCCAGTTGTTCCTTGCAATGCTTCCAAGAAACTGTAGTTAATGTTAACTAAATTAAATCTGTAACCTTTCCAAAGGAGAAGGAAGCTATCTAATCATACCTTACCACACAGACTAACTCAGCCATGATATTCAGGGAACAAGAGATAGTCTTCTGTTGTCTTTTTGCTATATATACTTCATGGACTTTTATGTGCATTTAGCTTATTTACATCATGCTCAGCTCTTCAGGTTGACTTCACTTAACCGAATTTTGGTCCTTTGCTGTTTTAGCAGAGATGACTTAAAAGCTTTATGTAGACTCAGGTTGCTAACACACCAAGTATACCAGGACAACTCTTTAAATTTTCCATGTTTTAAGAAAAGACTGAAATAACTTTGAGTCTCTTATCACATTATTGGTGGGAAAATTTTTCTGCATTTATTTCCCTATTCCAAAAATGTACTGAAAAACATGAAATGTATTTATTTTTAAATTTATTCTCATGATGCCATCTCTCACTGCTGTTCTTGGCTTCTTAAATTTAGATTTTTAAAAGCAGTTGTCCAGTTAGTGGTGGGGGTATGACCAGAACAAAAACTGTTTACTTTGTCTGAGCACATTAACTTCCTTACCTGTGATATTTAACTATTACCTGTGGTAAGAAAGAACAGAACATAAAAAATTGAAATCTGCAGAAAGGATTATTAAAAGAAATACATTATCTTTTGCACATAGTACTTACTTAGTAAATGTTGTTTCACCATCCTGAATTTCATTTTTTGTTGCTTCAATAAATTCTTTTGCATTCTCACTAGCAAAGAAGTTAATCATTAGTGAAATATTCAGAATATAGATTTTAAAAGTATTTTTTATTAAGGGCTTAAAAATATCTAGAAAGATAAGTAACTGTGATGCATTGATCCTACTATGGAAAACTTTATTTCACCACCTTCACAATGGCCTTCAAATCATAGGAGGATTGAATCCATGCCATTTCCTTTCTTTTGTTACATGCTATAGGATTTTTGAATCAGTATCCTCGCCCTCCAGTTTCTCATTTATAAATCAGATTCATTTTCAATCCATTGTTTAGCGGGGGCATATTTTTTTCTGTTTCACAAAGAAAATTTTTTGTGCACATTTGGATCATAATGTAAAGGAGTCAGTTTCTCTTGTAGTCAGTTTCTCTTGTTCTTGAAGGTTTGACCTCTCCCAGCTTGGCTCATCATTTTCACCAGGATGGTTTTTTGAGTTGCTCTTGGCACTGGTAATGACACCAGTGCAGTCTCCATAACCTGTCCAATGTCCTAGAATAATATTTTTAAAAGCAATAGAACCAAAGCCCTAAAAAAAATTCTTCAGTACATTGCTTTATCCTCTTAATAAATAACCTCTTGAGCATTGATTTGGTACAGAGGATGGTAGTAGGTGCTATAGATTCTGCCGCTCCATACGGTTGTAAACTAGGAGGAGATCAAGTAAGTAATTACTGTCAAGAAGACTCCACTGAGTTAAAAAAAAAAAAAAATAGTAATAAGTTTTTAAGGATACTTAAGAGTCACAAAAAGACTATAGAAGGGAAGGAAGCCTCCGAAAGGGTGAGGGAAGATGCATAAATGTGGATGTAGAAGTTGGAAAACTGTAAGTAATTTTATCAGCATAATATTATAGTAGGAAGAGTATGACCTGTATCCTCTGATAGATCTGGATTATATCTTTCCTTTGCCACTTAATAGTTGTATAACCTTGGGTATGTTTCTAGAACATAATAATGCCTGCCAACTTTGAAAGGTTGGTCAGTCTCAGGGTGAAAAATTTAGGCATAGTTCAGCAGACGGTGTAGAGTTGGAAGTTTTTTAGAGCCAAGAGAGGCAGATGATGAAATCAGTATTTTAGGAAGATTAATCTGATCTCAGGATGAACTGAAAAGGCAAAGAGACTAGCTAAGAGGCTATTGCAGTAATCTAGGCAGGCTGGGTTGCAGGGTTGGAGGTGTGAAATGTGACATTCATTGCTGTGAAATCCTTTTGTTTATAAGCATGTTTCTTTATAAGCAGTGCATTTCTCAGAAAAATTGTCCTTAATAACCTTAGGTTTTAATTAATAACAATAGTAAGCATTCATTGAACCTGCACAAATTCTAAGCAGTGTGCTAAGCACTTAACATGCATAGGCTTTTTGATTCTCATGTTTCTATGAAGTGTAGGTGCTGTTATCCATCCCATTTTAGAGGAGGAATTGAAATGTAGTAATTTGTCCAATATCGTATAGTAAATAAGTGGTAGGGTGAAATTTGAACTCAGATATGACTGATAACAAAATTAAGACCTTAAGCACAAGTAATTTAGGTTTGTTTAATGTCCTCTTAAATTTATTTTATTAAATATTGAGGATATTAAAGACAATATTAATAAAGTTTGAGATTTGGTGGGGAGGCCCATTATTATTATAGGAAACAAACTTTTCTGTTGTAGGTACTCACGTGATGGAAGGCTCTGGAAGAATGGTAGTTACAGCTGTGGGTGTAAATTCTCAAACTGGAATTATCTTTACCTTACTTGGAGCTGGAGGTGAAGAGGAAGAGAAGAAAGATGAGAAGAAAAAGGAAAAGAAAAGTAAGTATACCAGTTTGCTTTAAGAGTTGATAATTTGGAAATTGAGATGCAGTTAGACTGTAAGGACTGGTACAAAATATAGACTTCATTCATGAGATTCTGATATGAAAAAATTCTACAAAAAGTTAATTACTCAGTATTGTACTTTTGAGTAGTAGAATTAATGACAGGAAAGTTTTTTTGCTTTTGTTTTTTTTAAATCTTAATAGTCCATGAAAGACATTTAGTGACTTTACATCAGTCTCCTTTACAGTAGCCAGACAAATTCATCATCTGCTTGAACACTTCCATTGACTTTTTTCTGCTTATTATTTAGTTTTAGAATCTCCCTGTTGTCTGACCAGCAAAATATCACTTCCTATTTGCCTGTTTTTTCTGTGAGTTCAATAATAGCTTTCTTTGTCAGCCATATCTTATTTTGGTCTCATTGAGCTTTTGGTCTTTGAAAGTTTGCTACTATTCACAATTCCCATTCTGTATGTATGCAGTTGGTTTTTTGACACAAGCCTAGGACTTCACTTTGACACCTGTTATACTTGCCTTATCATATTCAGCCCATCATTAGATATCAAGATCTTTTTTATGTTGATCTATTCTTACCTGCTATCCCTCCAAGTCATCTATCATCAGCAAACCTGATAACCGTACAATTTATCCCTAAGGATCTTATAAGAAACGTGTTATATATAGGGAGACATCTCCGAATTTCTTAGTTGGGGGGGATGTCATTTTTTTAAAAATAGCTTCTGATATACCACCCTTAACTCTCCCACTCAGAATCACTGTTTTCAATTTTTTTCCCTTTAGGTTGACAGCAGTTTACTGTGGTCTAACCACTTAGATTTATTTAATTTTACTTAGGATACCAAACCAACCAAAACCAAACCCATTGTCATCAAGTCGATTCCAACTCAGAGCGACCCTATAGGACAGAGTGGAACTGTCCCATAGGGTTTCCAGGAAGCGGCTGGTGGATTCAAACTGCTGATCTTTTGGTTAGTAACCAAGCTTTTAACAACTGTACCACCAGGGCCCCTTAGGATAGTAAGTTCATATTTCTTTTTCTCACATACATTTTTTTTTCTCTTTTGGAACTTATTTTTTATTGTGCTTTAAGTGAAAGTTTACAATTCAAGTCAGTTTCTCATAAAAATTTATGCACACATTGCTGTGTGACCCTAGCTGCTCTCCCTATAATGTGCAGCATACTCCTCCTTTCCACCCCGGATTTCCCGTGTCCACTCAACCAGCTCCTGTCCCTTTTTGCCTTCTCATCTTGCCTCTGGACCGGAGCTGCCCATTTAATCTTATCTATCTACTTGAGCTAAGAAGCACCCTCTTCATGAGTATCATTTTATCACATATATTTTTTGAGATCTGAAATAAATGCCTTGTAAAAGTCTTGGTTTTCTGTAACTACAGCGGTGTTTTTTTGTTTGTTTGTCTTTTTCTGACGTTAACAAACAAATTTATTCTCTCTGAGTTTTGGAGGCTAGAAGCCTAAATTCAGTGTGCCGTCTCTAGGGGAAGGCTTTCTCTTTCTTTGTCAGCTTTTTTTTTGTTTGTTTGTTTCTGAGCTTTGCCTTTTATTTATTTAGTTATTGTTCTTTAAGTGAAAGTTTACAGTTCAAGTTAGTTTCTCATATAAAAATGTATACACATATTGTTATGTGACCCTAGCTGCTCTCCCTATAATGTGACAGCACACTCCTCCTTTTCACCCCGGATTTCCTGTATCCATTCAACCAGCTCCTGTCCCTTTTTGCCTTCTCATCTCACCTCCAGACGGGAGTTGCCCATTTAGTCTCATGTATTTACTTGAACTAAGAAGCACTCTCTTCAGAAGTATCATTAAAATGATACTTGTCTTATAGTCCAGTGTAATTATGTCTGAACGGGAATGGTTTCAGTTCTGGGCTAACAGAGAGTCTGGGGGCCATGTCTTCCAGGATCCCTCCAATCTCAGTCAGACCATTAAGTCTGGTCTTTTTACTAGAATTTGAGTTCCACACCCTCCTTTTCTCCTGCTCTGTCAGGGACTCTGTTGTATTCCCTGTCAGGGCAGTCATTGGTGGTAGCCGGGCACCATCTAGTTCTTCTGGTATCAAACTAATGGAGTCTCTGGTTTATGTGACCCTTTCTGTCTTTTGGGCTAATATTTTCCTTGTGTCTTTGGTATTCTTCATTCTCTTTTGCTCCAGGTAGGTTGGGACCAATTGTTGAATCTTAGATGGTCGCCTGCTAGCTTTTAAGACCCCAGATGCCACTCACCAAAATGGGATGCAGAACATTTTCTTAATGAACTTTGTTACGCCAGTTGACCTAGATGTCCCCTGAAACCATGGTCCCCAGACCCCTGCCCCTGCTACTGTGTCCCTCGAAGTATTTGCTTGTATTCAGGAAACTTCTTAGCTTTTGGTTTAGTCCACTTGTGCTGACTTCCCCTGTAGCATGTGCTGTCCTTCCCTTCACTCAAGATAATTCTTGCCTACTATTTAGTTAGGGAATACCCCTCTCCCTCCTTCCCCAACCTCGTGACCATCAAAGAATATTTTCTTCTGTGTTTCAGCCTTTTCTTGAGTTCTTATAATAGTGGTCTCATACAATATTTGTCTCTTTGCGACCAACCAATTTCAGTCAGTGTAATGCCTTCCAGATTCATCCATGTTATGAGATGTTTTGTGGATTCATCATTGTTCTTTATCATTGCGTAGTATTCCATTGTTTGAATGTACCATAATTTGTTTATCCATTCGTCCACTGATAGGCGCTTGTTTCCATCTTTTTGCTATTGTGAACAGTGCTGCATTGAACATGGGTGTGCATATATCTATTCGTATGACAGCTCTTATTTCTCTAGGGTATATTCCAAGGAGTAGGATTGCTGGATTGTATGGTACTTCTATTTCTAGCTTTTTAAGGACGTACCAGATTGATTTCCAAAGTGGTTGTACCATTTTACCTTCCCACCAGCAGTGTATAAGTGTTCCAGTCTCTCCACAACCCCTCCAGCATTTATTATTTTGTGTTTTTTGGATTAATGCTAGGCTTGTTGGGGTGAAATGGTATCTCATTGTAGTTTTGATTTACATTTCTCTAATGGCTAATGATGATGAGCATTTCCTCATGTTATCTGTTAGCCACCTGAATGTTTTCTTTGGTGAAGTGCTTGTTCATATCCTTTCCCCGTTTTTTAATTGGGTACAGCAGTGTTTTTAATACTTGGATATTTTCTTTTGTTCTTTGGGTTTTCTCTTTAGCAATGAAGTCCATATTTCAAACAAAAGTCTATTTAAAAAGTTCTGACTGCGGATGGAGAGGGGAAGTCCCATGTTTTTTGTTTCCCCTACACCACTCCTCATGGCAGCCCTTGATGTACCAGCATAAGTTTCTGAAGCCTGTGTGGAATGTAATTTAAAAACGAGTAACAGTGATGTTATTTATTGAGTACTTTACATGCATTATCTCATTAGTCCTCATGCTATAAGGTAAAGATTATTATTATTTTTTTTTCTGATGAGTAAACTGAGGCTTGTGGAGGTTGTGTAACTTGTTCCAGGTCAGAGATCTAGGAAGTGACACATCAAACCCTCTTCTCTTTGGCACAATCTGTTCTCTTAACCACAGACTGCTGCATCCTAATATACAGGAAACTAAAGTCAAGGAGAACCATATTTAAAAAGGAAGAGAAGTTTGCATGACTCTATACTTGGCCCCACAATGTGTTTTCCTATAGGCACCCTTTTTCTAAGGTTTTATGCCTCTGTTTTTATTAATCCAGTCCAGAATATTCCCAGGAATTAACATCTAACTCACTGTCTACCGTTTTTCGATCTTGTTTTGTTGTTATTGTTGTTTTTTGTAGAACAGAAAACATTTTTCTATCTGTGGACTTCCAGCCCTTCTCCCTTTATCTTGACTGCTTTGGCAATTACTCAAAAGCAGTCCAAGGGTAATGTCTCAGTTCCCTCAGTAGCCTGGAATGTGGCTATCTGGTCTGTCTCCAGACTTGAGCTCACTGAAAATAACTAGGTATTCTCTTACTATCTCCTCATCTATCTTGAGCTTCAGTTCCCTCTTGACCATATTTGTTCCACCTTTTCCAGTTTGAAGATAGTTCTCCTTGATAGAGAAGGTGGGAGAAAAATAGACTGAAGACTTCTGCTGCTGCTTTGTTGTATTTAATATCCTATTGTCTACTCTAAACAATAGATTGTGCCTTGATCACTTTATTGCTTCAGACATTCTCATTTTCCTGTTTTCTCCAAATCTGTACTAATTCGGGGTATTACCTTAACTGATAGTCTTACTGGCTTATTCGGTACATTCATATATTCATATTCTGGTTTTACTTGTTTGTCTCTCCTATTTTTTATACATATGCTTCTCTTCTCACCCCCATCAAAGCTCTCCTGTGTGCCCCTTGTCTTTCTATGACATTCTTCCATCTCGCTCAACCCTTTTCTGCTTTCTCATATCTGTATTTAATTTGGAAACCTCTCATACCATATTTGACTTATTACACTGTACAAAAGAGTAAAGTCTTAAACGAGAAATCAGGCAAGTATGTTGTTGTTGTTAGGTACCAATGACTGAGTTCTGACTCATAGCAACTCTGTACAACAGAACGAAACACTGCCTGGTCCTGCGCCATTCTCACAATTGTTGCTATGTTTGAGCCCATTGTTGCAGCTACTGTGTCAGTCCATCTCGTTGAGGGTCTTCCTCTTTTTCTCTGACCCTCCACTTTAGCAAGCATGATGTCCTTCTCCAGGGACTGCTCCCTCCTGATAACATGTTGTTTCAAACAAGTATGGATGTCCCAAATTCTTTTGGAATATTCCCTTATGGGCACTGTCTAAGGAGTGAGTGATCAAGCAGGTCATTGCAAGCCAAATCTTGTCTAATCTGTAGACACACACACACACACAACACACACACACACCATACCATTGTGTAGTAATTCTGTTAATAGAAATGTGAACTACCTCTGTATTCATTTCTTTTGGAAAGCTTTAATTCCCATTTTGTTCCTACAGATAAGAAACAAGATGGAGCTATTGAGAATCGCAACAAAGGTAAACTCAGGAGGATAAAAGTACAGTTACATTGTTTTCATTACACCCAAAGATATATCAACAGTGTACAGATACTCATCCAGAAGTAAGATATATGTAGCAGGGAAAACAACAATATATATTAACTTGGGTTAACCTCTTCCTACTAGTGCTTTAGGTATGCTACCTCTACAATGTTAATAAGATTATAATTATGATTTTAGATAGTAAGCTTAGAAAGATCCACGTGTAAGTAACTTTCAACTTAAGTATTTCAGGTGTTTTAATATCAGTTACTCTGGATAATTGGTAGCAAAAATGTGTACGAAACAAAAAAACACTAAATATCATGTAGGTGGTTTTGCATTTACTTGTCGTTGTTGTTAGTTGCTGTGGAGTTGATGCTGACTCATGGCGACCATATGTGTGCAGAGTAGAGCTGCTCCATAGGGTTTTCAGGCTGTGACCTTTCAAAAGCAGATTGCCAGGCCTGTCTTCTGAGATACCTCTGGGTGGGCTCGATCCACCACCACTTTGGTTAGTAGTTGATCACTTAACTGTTTGCACCACACAGAGACTCTTGCATTTATTTGGGAGTCTGTAAATATATGTACATTTGTCTACATGCGTGGTCACACATAATTGTCTACATTACCATCATACATTATATGGGAGGAATGTGTGCTAGTTGGGATGTCTTGTTACCTAACACCAACAGACATGAAGAGAAATGATTTGATATTTTTTAGTTCTTAATTTAAGGACCCTTAATTTAATTTCTTGTTACCTAGCACAATATTCTCAAATTTCATGCAAAGTTTCACAACTTAATGTAGCTATTGCCTTATTTTGTCTGTGTAGAAACACACACAAAGTTAGATGGTTAAAGCTTTTCTAGTTTCTATAATAAGAAACTAATTTTAAAAAATGCTTCAAAATGTTACAAGTGATGTGTGCCTTTAAAATGTAGTAAGATGATGTTTGCTCTTAAATGTAGCAAAAGCCCAGGATGGTGCAGCCATGGAAATGCAGCCTTTGAAGAGTGAAGACGGTGGAGATAGTGATGAAAAAGACAAAAAGAAAGCAAATTTGCCAAAAAAGGAAAAATCTGTTTTACAAGGGAAACTTACAAAGCTGGCTGTTCAGATTGGCAAAGCAGGTATGATATGTAGAAGATAATAAGGGTGTTTTGTTTCAGCATACACTAATTTTCTTCTTAGAAATTGTCCTTTGACATACTTCGTTGCTTAGTGAGTAGAAAAGGAGTTTTTAAAATGTCGTTTTTACCCACCATGTGCTGTAACCTATGAGTTATTGTAAATCCTCATAATACCATTCATTGCAACTTGCAAATTTTACATAGAGACAATTGTCACCTAACTAATACAGGGCGAGGCTAGGGTTAGTGCCTAAGTCTGATCTGTTCACAAGCTCTTGCTCTCATCTCTGAATTTTTGGGGACAGAAGAAACACTCCCAACTGGCTGTGAGGTTATTCAGTACAGATTACTCAACTACATTTAAATAAAAAGTTTCACTACACAATTTGTTCATCATTTTTACTGGTTTTCTATGTAACAATTTAGGTGTAGGTTTTTATAAAGGTTATATTTTAGTTAAACTGAATGAAACAGTGTCATCCTAGTGAGGCTGAAGTTGATAAATTGCTGCCATCACTAGAAAACACCTGTTAAACACCTGTTATTGTTACTTAGTAACAATAAACGTAGAGCATGCCCTCCAGCAGTGTCATCTTCACAAAAGAACACTGCGGATAAGTCAGCATATGTATTATTAAAATCAGTTAAATTGCATCCTTCTGCTAGTTCCTAGGAGTATGCTGGAAAAACTGAAGTTTTTCTTTGCATTAAGCTTTTTATCTAATAGCAGATACTTGCTTTTTGTAATATGTAAGCAGATGGTAATACTAATTTATGTAGTGTTAGGAAAAAGGGTCAATTTGAGTTGGTTATGGTTTTTAGTAGACATTGGATTGAATTATTAAACTCAAATATGTGTACTTGCTGTATTTTTTAATACTCATTGATAAAAGGCTAAACATCCCACAAAGTACAGTTAAAATGTTCTTAGTCTTTTAAGTTAATGGTGCTATAAGGATAGACCAAAATTTTTTAAGTAATAATAATTCAGAAAATTTTGTATGTGGTTTTTAATTATCCAAACCAAAACTTGTTGCCGTCAAGATGATTCCCTCTCATAGCAACCCTGTAGGATGGGGTAGAACTGCCCCGTAGGATTTCCAAAGCTGTAAATCTTTATGGAATCAGACTGCCACATCTTTCTCCTGCAGAGTGGCTGATGGGTTCGTTTGACTACCGACCTTTTGCTTCTCAGCCGAGTGCTTAACCACTGCACCACCAGGGCTTCTTTTTTTTTTTTTTTTTTAAGCATAGGGTTGAATACTTAATTTCAGGTGTACCCGTTGATCAGATTCTTTCTGGCTTCTCTTTTAGCATTAGGCACGTTGCCTCTTCAACATGTAAAGTACTCACTTTTGCTAAGCTTTCCATTTTTTCTTTAATTTTTCCTATTATTTTACCTGAGCTTTTGTAGGAAGCAGAAGATGCAGTGAAGTTTAGGAAACAATCTTAAATGCTTTTCTTCTAGCTCTTCCTGAGGTCAGGGCTGTACTTGGAGCAAAAATTTAGTCTGACAATGTCAGGTAGTGAGTTAGGTGCAGAAAGGAAGTAACAGTTTCTCAGAGAAATTAAATATTACCAAGCCAATTATAATGCTTCCAGAAGCTAATATATAACTGCAACGGGTGGTGTCAGGAGTATTTAAATAATTACATTTTTCTTTCTTTCTTTTTTTTTTTTAAATGTACTGAAAGGTCTGTTGATGTCTGCCATCACGGTTATCATCCTAGTATTATATTTTGTAATTGATACATTCTGGGTTCAGAAGAGACCGTGGCTTGCTGAGTGTACACCAATTTACATACAGTATTTTGTGAAGTTCTTCATTATTGGAGTTACAGTTTTAGTGGTAGCAGTGCCAGAAGGTCTTCCACTTGCAGTCACTATCTCACTGGCTTATTCAGTCAAGGTAAGTAGAAAATAATTAAGGAGATGTATTATATTTAAAGCCACATCTGGTATAGAAATGCAAATCTGGTTCCTGTCTTTTCTGGTGTTGAAAGTGGAGGATTCACATAACTTTGCACTGTTCTTTACAATTGCTATCTCCTCCTCTCCCCAGTTGAGTGTCTCTGTACATAGATACACAAAGCTAAGCATAACTCTACTAGACTGGATAGAAAGTTTTAGCCTAATTTTCATTATATGGTTTATGTTGTCAAATCATATCATCTCCATTTTCCCATCTGTAAAATTAAGGTAAGATGTTGGGCATTTACCTGTGGTACAAGGACAAAAGAGGGGTCTCTCTAGTCCAGCCTTCCAAGGCCTGCTTGCTTCTACTCTTCTACTTCTCACACCCCCACAGCAATCTAGTCTCCTCATAGTAACAGACTCTTGTTTCTAAAAAAAATAATTCACAGCATACTGCTTCCTTGCTCAAACCCTCCAGTGACTTCTCATCACACTTAAATCCAAACTCCTTACACCGTGGCCCTCCCCAGTCTGGCCCCTGCTTACTCATTTCCTCTGCACTCTTCCTCTCACTCCCTCTGGTCTAGCTTCACCAGCCTACCTGCTGTTTTTCAAATATCCCAACTGTGTTCTCACTTTCAGGGCCCACTTGTTCCTTCCCTTGAATAACTTTGTTCAGACCATTGGATTTACAGTCCTTGATTTCCAAGTAGAATACTGAAATTGTACTTCGATGGCTTTGCTAACTGCCATTTTCACAGAGTAAAACTCTGTTTGAAGATTGTTCGTTTATTTTTATTAATTTCATATCATATGGAAGAGGCGAACTGAAAAAAAAGGTTTAGCTTGCACAAGTTTGATCTTCTTCCAAAATGGTTTTACAAGTAAAAAAGTTGTATACTTTTCGGAAGAATGGTGTTCTTATGAATTTTCTAATGTTAATTAGCAGTTTTCCTTAAGTAGTATTGCTGACACTGAGCAGTATACTTAGTCATAGTTTCTGCTCTAGCACTCTTATATATTCCAAAGAATAGATAAATATTCAAAGTGTTTTACAATAGACCTGCCATGATAGAAATATTTTTTGTTTACTGTTGAGTTTATTTTCTTTTTAGCCATTTAACATCTTTTGTTTCAAAAATAAAATGGTAAATGTATAAAAATGATGATAAATTATGGTGTATTCATCTATTGTCCTTTTTTGATGTTTAAAATAATTTAGAAATAATGGGGGAAATAGAAGTTTTAGACACATTGATCATTTTTACCAGTGGTTTAATACTTTATGAATGGTCATTAATGATATCAGTTTTTCAATTGGTCAGAAAGATAGGCAAGATTGATTTGTGTTGAGTAGAAAATTAATAAAAGCGTTTTAACTATTTTCCTTTAAACTTTATTAAATGTGTATTTAGCTCTTACATTACCAGTTTCTCATCCTTTCACTGGGGTGTATTCGTTAGGGATTTTCTCTTAGTGTTTCACAAAATTGAGCAAGTTTTCTTTACCGTAGATATTTATTCTTTTAATCTTTAATATTTCATTTAAATCATAAGTAATTTAGGAGGTACACATATGTCTTCCCCATATTTATTTCTTCAAGGAACCAGTTTTTGCAGTATCTTGCATATTAGTTGTCACAGAACACACTTTGTAAAATAACCTTACGTAGTTTTTAACCCATTGCACATATTTATTGAGACTTAATGTATTTTAACTTAAATGCTCTGTGGGGCAATTCTGAAAACTCTTGCTTTTTTAGAGTGTTTTTTTGTTGTTAAGTGAGAGAAAGAGGTGAGATGTATTCTGATGCTAAGGATGATAATTTCAAGTCAACTAGCATATGGAATAGATGAAAACGATCCATTCTGGTTTTGATATGTTAACTCAGTCTGTCAGAATTGTAAGAGTCAAGCAACTTCATACCCACAAGCTCTTTATTTTAGCTGGTAAAAGCTTTTTTCCCCTTGTGATTGATACAAGAATCTTGTGTTTTCCACTTAATAAGGAGACTTAATATTTAAATTTAATGTATTCTTACACTATGGTACGTATCATTATACTTAGAGTACAGATTGTTGCTGCTCTACAAGAGCACAATCAGGAGCACGCTTAGAAACTATTGGAGGTACATCGTCAAGGTGATTTGGGTATGCATACGAGTAACTGTAGTCATTACTAGATTATGCTCTGCAGTGATAGAATGATTGAAACTGGAAAAAGCTAGTACTCTCTTTAGTGTATTTGAATACGTCAAATGCACTTAAATTCTTCCAGTATTAACTAGTACTTAATACTGTGTAACTGTACATAGCTAAGTGCTACAGCTGCTAAACAAAAGATCGGCAGTTCAAATCCACCAGGCGCTCCTTGGAAACTCTATGGGGCAATCCTACTCTGTCCTGTAGGGTCACTATGAGTTGGAATCAACTCAGCAGCAACGGGTTTGGTTGGTTTTTCTGGTATATAGGTGGGAGTTTTAGTTTAGATTTTAAAGCAGGTATAATATTTTAATATAATGAGATGATTGGTTTTATAAGTAACTTTTAACTAGATTTTTTTTTGTTACTGTAGAAAATGATGAAAGATAATAACTTGGTAAGGCATCTGGATGCTTGTGAAACCATGGGAAATGCTACAGCCATTTGTTCAGATAAAACAGGAACATTGACAATGAACAGAATGACAGTTGTCCAGGCTTACATAAATGAAAAACATTATAAAAAGATTCCTGAACCCGAAGCTATTCCACCAAATATTTTGTCCTATCTGGTAACAGGAATTTCTGTGAACTGTGCTTATACATCAAAAATATTGGTAAGGTTTCTTCAATAGTTAGTCTATGTGTTAAAATTAATTTTAAAATTTGTAATGATTAGACTGTAATTCTTCATACCTGTCATTATTGAATAAATTGAAGAACTAGATTGTTTTAGGTTTTTATAAGGCATTTATCAGTATAGTGTATAAAGTTTCTTTTGATGTAATTCGTGTTACAAGTAAGGTCTATTGATCACATATACATTCTGCTTACTTGTATTTTTTGTCTATGTTCTGAAATTCCTATATTCAGAAACTCTTCAGCTCTATAATCAAAGCAGGTTCTTAGTTTTAAGAAGCTTATTTTGTGAAAGACTAAGCTGTCTTACTATAGAAAGTCAGTTGTTAATTTTCTAGAGACAATTTTGAAACCAGATTTCAACTTAAAATAATACATTTTATATGCTTGATATATACTCTGTTTTGGTTTCTCAGTAGGTCCTACCTATAAGATGGTCCTTTGACTTTTTTAGAATAAATGCAATAAAGTAATTCTGTTTATGCTACTTTAGAATATTTTCAACCTCTCAAGTTTTATTAAATCATATTTATAACTTAAAGCATGAAATTATGTTTGACTTGTTGATAAATGTTCAGTGATCTGTGTGTGAAAATCATTGACAAAGTTGATATTCACGTTGTTAAACTATTGAAAATATACATGAATTATTGGGCTGGAGAGTTACGAGGTCTTGGTTCCAGATTTAGCTTTGCCTTTTTCTAGCTAGAAGTCTGAGCTTTACTTTCTTCAGTTGTAAGACGATCACATCTGCCCTTAATACCGTGTGATGATCGTATAATATTTGTGAAGAGACAATGAAGGAGCTAAAGCTTTTCTATACACTTAAAGCAACAGTATTTTATTTCATTTATTTTTATTTTAAGCTGTAAAGAATATTTAATGTAGATTTAATTTTGAGTTATTTATAAATAAGTAAATGTTCAATGAAAAAAGGAAAATTAAAATTTATCACCTCCACTGTGTGTCAGGAACCAACTATAAACTTTACATTTCTTATCACATTTAATTTGTGGATCATCAGTGCTCCTGTTTTACAGATTCTGAAGCCAAGGATCACAGTGGTTGGGTAACTTGCCAGAAGTTCATGTAGCTAGTAACTGTCAGGGCTGAGACTGGAATCAATGTCATTCTTGGCCAAGAGCTCTTTTCTACCTTACACTTCTGCGCCCCTCTTGGAAATGCTAACATTAGTAGAAGTTTCTTGTATGATTTCATTTTGGAATGTAGCATTCTGTTTTACATTATAAATAAAACTTTCATAGAGAAACAAAATGATACTGACTTCTAAACATTTTCCTCTTATAGCCACCAGAGAAAGAGGGTGGATTACCTCGTCATGTTGGTAATAAAACTGAATGTGCCTTGTTGGGACTTCTTTTGGATTTAAAACGGGATTATCAGGATGTTAGAAATGAAATACCAGAAGAAGCACTGTACAAAGTCTACACCTTCAATTCTGTTAGGAAGTCCATGAGTACTGTCCTGAAAAATTCAGATGGAAGTTTTCGAATATTCAGCAAGGGTGCCTCTGAGATAATTCTGAAAAAGTAAGAGTAAAATGCTTAGATGAATAAATTGCTGACTATAGTTGCATTATGGAATATCTGTGTTGTTGTTATTGTTGTTTTCTCTTTATGAACATCAGACATTTGATAGTACATTTTAGTGTGAAGTAAGTGGGCTATATTTTATGGTATCTAGACATTTGTCCATGGTACGCTACCATTTTCACACCGTAGCTTCTCTTATTGCGTAGTATTTTGATACAGGGAGGAAAAAACTCATTACATTCAATCTGGTAGATTTAATGAAGTAAACTTTGATGTTTGTTTTTAGACCTGTTGATTCCGTTGTTACAGTATCATGAAAATTAAAAACCTCCTGGGAAGAAAAACTCAAGTTTATTTTCTTCACCCACTGCATTATAGATCATAGGCTCAAAAAAGTGGGATGAATGAACTATAGATTAGTTTCTAAAACAGCAAGACATTAAAGCTAGATCTTGAGAATTCTTTTATATCAAAGTGAGGTTTATCATATTTATTCTGCTGCAATGTTATATTTATATCCTATCATTTTGAATAGTAGTGTTTCTTACTGTCTTTTTACAGGCCAGTAGTATCAATTTTGACTTTACATGTTCACATATTATTTCCCTAATGTTTGTCTGTTACTACAGGTGTTAAAATTATTTTGGTTTCCTTAATTGTAGCAAAAAACTGTTAAGACAAGTTTGGAAGAATTGGAAAGCATTTGAAATTGTAACATTTAAAATATCTGCTTTTAATTTATGTGTGGATTATAATCCAGGATTATTTTAGTGAACACCCAACAGACTGTAATCTAGTAGGTTTAAAACAAAGAGCTAAAAAAGTGGCACATGATAAATGGGTACAAGTTTTAAGATGAGAGATCACACTACAAAGGATGTGACATTTAAGATAGGTTTTAGTGTGAAGTAAGATCATCAAGGTGAAGGAAGCTACATCAAAGAAAAGGAGGCAGGAATGTGTAGGTCATATTGAGGGAATAGCTAGTTGCATAGTTCAGCTGCAGAGTGATGGGTTCTAATGGCCCACGGGGCACATAGAGCTTTCTTACCTTCACAGTATAGCTTGTTATCTGATTTCAGTGTAAAAGGTTAGAAATCTCTCTTCTTCTGGCTAGTTGGGTAGCAGGTAGGTGGTATAGTGGAATGAGTAGGGAGATTTTTTAATAAAAACAAATTAGGCTTTGACTCTTATGAATCTAACTAGCTATGAAATCTTGGGAAGATTTTTCTGTTTTCTTCACTGAAAAAGAAGGTGCTCCCCATCAACTCTGTGCCAGTGAAATAAAATAATGCATGTAAAACATCTAGCATGGGGCCTGATAGTAAGTGTACAGTAAGTGTTCCCGCGGTTGTATTTACATTTTGTTGTAGAGCCTCTTGAATGTTAGGCTGAGCAATTAAAGCTTAAGTAGGCCAGATAGTGTAACTGAAGTTTTGTTGTTTTTTTTTTTTTAAATTAAGCTGTGATTGAAAATTTTTGCATCAGGGAATAAGGTGGGTTGGAAGAAAAAAGATGAACTGGAGACTGAATGTTTTAACAATGTTATTTTTTTCCATGGTTAAAATATAGGTAATGAAACAACTTCCTGGTTAAGGAGCTGATTGAACACAGCTTTTTACTTTAAAAGGAGAAAATATTTGCAAAGTTTGTGTTAATTCAAATTAATGACTCATTGTATACCAAAGTGGTCAGATATATAGTTGATTCTCCTCTGCCACTAGCGGTTCTTGGGAAAAATATAAAGGCACTGCATTTCCAAATGAGAAAGTTTAGAGAATATCTAACATAACTGATAAAATGGAGGACTATCAAATGAGAATTGTGAAGCTAGAACTCTCTGTTTTGTAAAGGGGAAGGTGAAAAGTGGATATGATTTAGGTCTATAAAAATGCAATGCATGTAATTCTCAGATAGTCAGATCCCATGATTTCTAGCCCCTCCAGTTCACTTAAGTGGCATTAACCATTATTTTTGTTAATCATTGATGTTTGGATTCAACATTTTCTTTTAGGTGTTTCAAAATCTTGAGTACTAATGGTGAGGCAAAAGTATTCAGACCAAGGGACCGTGATGATATTATAAAAACTGTGATTGAACCGATGGCATCGGAAGGCTTGAGAACCATGTGTCTTGCATTCAGAGATTTCCCAGCAGGAGAACCAGAACCAGAGTGGGATAATGAAAATGATATTGTCACCGGCCTCACATGCGTTGCTATTGTGGGGATTGAAGATCCTGTGAGACCTGAGGTGATGAAGCATTTTGTGTTCTTCATGTGCAGAATCTCTTAGAAGGACCTAGACATTAATTGTAATCAGTTTTCTGGTAAAATTCTTGGTGTTTGTGATTTAGTTTTTTCTATGTGAATCCAAGATAATTGAAATAATAGTTCTTGTGATGCATATGCTACCTTTCTAGAGTTTTTAATTAGACAGCTTCTTTGGTGTTTATAGCACCATTATCTTAAAACAGTGCCTCACGCTAGGTAGGTTTCTCAGTTGATGTTTAAATTAAATAATACCAAAACCCAAACCAAACTGTTGCTGTTGAGTCAATTCTGACTCATAGCAAACCTATAGGATGGAGTAGAACTGCCCCATAAGGTTTCCAAGGAGCAGCTGGTGAATTCGAACTGGCAATCTTTTGGTTAGCAGCTGAACTCTTAACCGTGGTACCACCTGGGCTCCTAAATTAAGTAATAGATGCCATTAAATTATTTATTTTCACAGTCTCTAGACCATTACTGTCCAATAGAACTTTCTGCAGTGGTAGAAGTTTTCTCTGTGTTGTTCAGTCCAGTAGCCACTAGCTGCATGTGACTATTGAGTTCCTGAAGTGTGGCTAGTGCAGCTGAAAAACTGAACATTTAATTTAATTTTAATAGCCACATGTGACTAATGGTTGTCATGCTGGAGAGTATGCAGTTCTAGACTTTGCTTTACTTCTTTAAAAAAAAAATGTTTTTTGTAGTCATTTATTCAAAAGAAAAAGTTTATTGAGTAACTGCTGTGTGTCAGGCACTATACTAGGCACTAGGAGCATAAAAATTTTTGAGATCTGATCGTGGCCTCAAAGAAGTCACTGTCTTGGGTGGGGAAAGGCACACACATGATAATTATAACCCAGGATGTCACTATGTTTTTAGATATATAATATACAGAGCATTTTGTAATAGCACCATACATGGACCCGTGCCCTAGTCTAAAGCAATAACATCTTTTCATTGGGTTCTCGGTGTGGGTCACATTCTGAGAGATGAAAAGAAATTGAGACATATAGAGGTTAACACTAGACAGTAGAGCTAATACGGTTCAGATCCCATCTCGGCCAAAAATGCATGGGCTTAAAAGACCACTCTGCTGTGTTAGAAGGCAGGGGTGGTTCAGGGGTATAATTCTCACCTTCTATGCAAGAGGCCCAGGTTTAATTCATTGCCAGTATACCTCAAGCACAGCCACCACTCTCCTGTCAGTGGAGGTTTTTGTGTTTCTGCGATGCTGAACAGGTTTCAGCAGGGCTTCCAGACTAAGACAGACCAGGAAGAAAGGCCTGGTGATCTGCTTCTAAAAGTTAGCCAGTGAAAACACTCTGGATCACAACAGTCCGATCACATTGTGCATGGGGATACCATGAGTGCAGGGCCAGTTCTGTGGCAGCTGACAACAACAATGCTATATTAAGTACTGGGGGAGGATCAGACAAGTTTTCCTAGAGGTTAATTACCTGATCTGGATTTTAAAGAATGATAATATATTAGTTAGACCAAGAGACATAGCGGTAAGCACATTCTGAGAAAAGGAGATAACATAAGTAAAGGCACATGACTTCATCAACTGATTGATTTAGCAGCTAATTGATTCAACACCTAATGTGTTGTACCAGGCACCCTTTTAGGCACTGGGAATACAACAATGAACAAAATAGTCATGATGTTTATATTCTAGGGAGAGAAAACAGCCAGATAGAGTGATAGCTGCATGGATGGTATACCAAATGAAAATAAATGTTGTAAAAAATCAGACTTGGTCCCTACCCTCAGAGACCTTACATTCTGGATGGCATACAGAGGATGAGGAGGGTGACATTATATAAGACAATTACAGATGTGATAAGGGCTAAGAAGGCTGTACACAGGATGATGAAATAAGGCAGCTGAGGGACACCACATTAAGAATCTCTCAGGATGTGACATTTGAGCTAAGATCAGATAGCCAAAAGTGAGCCAACCATGTACGTAGCTTGCAAGAAGAGCATTCCAGGCAAAGGGAACAAAAAATGTAGAGGCCTGAAGGTGAGAAAGGTATTTAGCTATTGCAAAGATGGAAAGGAGGCCAGTGTGGCTGTAACTGTAGAGAAGAAGGGGGAGACGAGATTATATTTGGCCTTACTAAACCATAAGGACTCTGAATTTTATTGTAAAATTCAGTGGGAAGTCATTAAAGAAATTCAGATTGGGAAGTGACATGATTTGTGTTGTTAAAGTACTATTTTGGGTACTGTGTAAGAAATGGATTAGAGAGAAAGAGGAGTAAATGCAGGGAAGCCAGTAAGATTATTTCAGTGATCCAGACGAGATGATCATGGCTTGGACTGTGGTTGTGCCAGTGAAGATGGAAAGAAAAGGATGATTTTAAAGTAAATGGAGATAGAATATGTTGGGTGTGGGTATACTGTTTTGGGCATTGATGAGGTGTCTGAGACATTCAAGTGTGTATGTCAAGTAGGCATTTGGACCTAGGAGTCTGAAAGTGGTCTAGCCTGGAGAGTTCGCATGTGAGACTAAATGAGATCTGGGGAAAGTGTTGTAGCTGCAGAAGAGGGTGTAAGACTGAGATGTGGCAACAATGAAAAGTGTTGCAGAGGAGGAGGAACCAGTCTCTAAATTGCAGGACTAGGTCGGTGGTAGATGGTATTAACAAATGTAATAAGAGAATCAGAAGAAGCAGCTGTTTAGAAATCACTGTGAATTCAGTTTTGGATTTTGGAATTTAAAATGCTTATGAAACATCTGGTGGATACGTCCAGCAACCTTTGACCAAAAGAAAGCCATTTAAAGTTTTATATACTGACTTATAGTTTAAGACTTACCGAAATCTAATGTTAAATCAGGATGTCTTAAGCTTTTGTCCCTTGAAAAGCGTTACTATTACAATGCTCTTGGCGTTGAGGTTGATGGAGAACTTCATCCTTTTTTAAACATGTGAGTGGCACTTTATTTTTTGGTATCACAAAATGAGATGGATACTCTTACACTAACATGAAACAGTGTAATATGAAAGCTTTCTCTGAATATTCTGGACTGTACACTCGTGGAGTAGGGAATCTTGATTAATTAGATACCTAGAACAAATCCAGCTTTATTGGATATGCATAAGCACTTGGATACTTGGCCTGTCTTCAATTCCTTTTCTGTACCAGTGGAGGTAGTTTGTGAATTTTAAGTGAAAGTGCCTGGTGGTTATTAAGTAGTCCATAAGACGCCCTGGTGGCACAGTGGTCAAGTTTTCGGCTTTTAACCAAAAGATCAGTGGTTCGAACCCACCAGCCACTCCACAGGAGAAAGATGTGGCAGTCTGCTTCCATAAAGATGTTGTTGTTAGGTGCTGTCAAATCGATTCCAACTCATAGTGACCCTATGCATGTAAAGACTACAGCCTTGGAAACCCTATGGTCTGGTTCTGCTGTGTCCTGTAAGGTCGCTATGAATCGGAATCGACTCCATGGCACACAACAAGTAATCAATAAATGTTAGTTTGCCTTTCTTAGACATTATTTGCCACACAGTGTGATTTTAGACCAAGTTCTTATTCATTGTTCCCCTGTACAGATGATTTGGGATTACTACCTAAATCAGTGAGTGTTTATATATATATATATATATAAAATAATTTTCTTTTTATCTTAAATGAGGTATCAGGATATGTATTATACAGTTGACTAATGTTTTTAAGATCAATTTTTTTTTTTTTTTAAATAATAATCTGGGCAGGCTCTATCCTTTTGCTCACCATTGTGTCACTGGTACATAGCACAGTTCCTGGTATACAGTAAATATTAGTTTGAGTGAATACATAGGATATCCGCCTGTGATGATTTGAATGACCAAGAGTTGATTAGGGAGAAAAGCTTTTATGATATAAACCTTAACACTTACTATAGATACATACATGTTTAAGTTGCTAGTAATTATATTATACACGTTTTAAGACACATGGTACCCTATCTTGAAGTGCTCCTCTTAGAAAATTTCTAAGAGTGGCTATATTCCTAAAGATATTTAATTCAGTAGTTCAACAGATAGTAAGTTCCAGTTATATGCCGGGCACTTGTTTGTTAAATGAATGAAAAGTTTTGTACTAGGCATTGGTGTTGCAAAGATGATAAATGTCTTACCTTCAGGGACCTCATTGACTTTCTAAGGACTCAGGTAAACAAATAACTATAACATGATGTAATGAATTTTGTATAAGATGAAGGCACAATTCTGCCTGTGCAGGCCAAGAAATCTCCAGAGAAGTTACATTTAAACTGAAGTTAGAATAAACATCACAAATAGTTAGCCAACAGGGCATATGTAGCTTTTAGTCAAGCTATCTTTGGCCCACGTGTGTGTGTGTAAAACATTTAAGTATTGGGAAGTGACACACAAATTTGGATTTCTGCTTTCTCTTGAAATCATGGGCTTTTCATTCCACCATGGCAGAAATAATCTAGAGCTGAGTAGCTCTTTCCTTTAGACATTTGTCTCAGGTTTGTCACTTTCAGTTCTTCCCTTATTTATGTTACCTATGAGACTATCTAGCATTTGAATTTGCAGTCCCTACTCTGGTAGAATCTGTATGGATTATCTGGTTAGAGAAGAGTAGGAAAGGATTTTTTTTTTCTTAAGGGCAGAAGGAACTGCAGAAGCAGAGGCATAGAAAGAATATATAGACTGTTCATCTATAACAAGTAATGTGTAATAGAGAATAATTTTAGACAAGCCAGAAAACCAAGCTGAGGCTCAATTGTGAATACCCCATTATATAAAACGTTGTGGTTTATAGTATAACAGTTTAGGAATCATCAGACATTTTTAAGAAAGTGTATTGGTGTGTTAGAAAAAAGAACTCTACCATCAAGTATATAAGAATGTTTTAAAGGGAGATCAAACTAAAGACAGGGATGCCAATTAAAAAGCTATTATAATAGACATGGTACAGAGAAGATTTGAGGTAGCATCCACAAGACTCCTTGGCCTTTAGAGATGTACAGGGTAAGAGAGATGAAAGAGATACAGATGGCCCTTAGGTTTCTGTTAGATAGATGGATAGATAGATAGGTTTAGAAAACATGGCCGTCCTTTTAGACACCCAAATTCTGATGTCCACTTTTCAGGCAGAACTATAAATCCAGCTCTCACAGTGAGGTGAGGGAAAGATAGAGATTTGGAAGTCATTATAATGTAGATAGTAGTTGAAGGTATGGGAGTAGGTGAGGTATCCCTGAAAAGTATATATAGAATGAGAAGAAAAATGAGCCAGCCAGAACCTAACATTTACTCTAGTGTGATCTGGGCTGTAAAACTAGAAAAGTAGAAAGCCAACTGGAAAAGAATAGCTTAATGATGGTGAATGGGGAGCTTTCCAGAGCCTTTGAAACTAAATAATACAAACAGTTTAAGTAGGGTGACAACTGAAAATGAAGCTTGAACTAGGACTGTGGCAGTGGAAGAAAAAGGATTACTAGGAATAATTCAAGAAATATTGAATATCCTGAGATTAAAGTTGCAATTATTTGTAGAACTAAAGTGTAATGCATATATTCAGTAGGACACACCCTCCCAAAATACTATTTTTTTATGGTAATAGGAATTTTTCCATGTAAACCAGGTACCGGATGCAATAAAGAAATGCCAGAGGGCTGGAATTACTGTGCGGATGGTCACTGGTGATAATATTAATACTGCTCGGGCTATTGCTACCAAATGTGGTATTTTACACCCTGGGGAAGATTTCCTATGCCTAGAAGGTAAAGATTTCAACAGAAGAATACGAAATGAAAAAGGAGAGGTAAGGTTTTAAAAAATTTTTTTTTAGTTGATCTTTTTTTTTACGTTAGGAATTTCATTGAACAAATACATATTGAAGATGTACTATGTATTAGGCACCACACATGTATAAATGCAGTCCACTCCTAAAGGGCAAAAACTAACATTCTAGGAGATAAAAAGGTTAAGTGACAAACTGCTTTAAAGGGAGTGAACATTTCTAGCTAGGAATGCTTTATGAAAGAGTAGTGTTCAGTCTGTGTCAATTTCAGAAGTACAATGTGTATAAGGAAGTATTCGGAGATGAGTTTGGAAAGGTTGGTATGGGGTATGTTTCAAACCCCCTGAGCTTTTTATACTAAGCCAAGGAATTTCCATTTTCTTAGGCAATGGGGAGAGTTTAAAAATTTGATCTTATACTGCTACATAGCAGGGATTCTCAAACTTGAGCATGCCTCAGAGTCACCTGGAAATCACAGCTTGCTGGGCTCCATCCCAGACTTTCTTGCATGAGAGACGCCTGGGGTGGTGCTCCAGTATTTGCATTTCTAACAAGTTTCTAGGAGTTGTTGAGGCTGCTGGTCTGTTGACCACACTTTGAGAAGCACTGATACATATGATGGCTGATTTTAAAATTATGAAACTAGCTTTGGGCACATTTTAACTTTGGTAAAAATTCATAGATTGAGCAGGAGCGGATAGACAAGATTTGGCCGAAGCTTCGAGTACTTGCAAGATCATCTCCTACTGACAAACATACACTGGTTAAAGGTGAGTAGATTTTACTGTTATTTCACAGTTTCTTAATAGAGAAACTTGTTCTACTTAGAAAAATAGTTAATAGATACTGAATATTAGATTGAGTCATGGATATCATCTCTTCCAATAAAATCTAAATGCATTTCTTTTTGCTACTTTAGGTGAATGTGTTTGTCTTTAGTGATTAGATCAGGATATTGCTCCTTAATGTGTCTTAGTTTCTAGAGTTGGTCTCTGCGCAACATCTAAACATTTTCCGTTTCTATGTTTATTTTTAACAGTGAGTCTGTAAAATGAATTACTTGGGATATTCTGCAGAATCACCTTATTAATGACAATGTCTTTAAAGCACAAATATTTACTTTTATTTAAGGTATAATTGACAGCACTGTCTCAGAACAACGCCAGGTGGTAGCTGTAACTGGTGATGGTACGAATGATGGCCCGGCACTAAAGAAAGCAGATGTTGGATTTGCAATGGTAGGAGCTTACCTATTCCAATATTCAAATGTAATTTACTGGCTGGGTTTTTTGTTTTTTTTTTTTTAATTACTATTGATTTTAAACACTGTCCCTCAGATTAGTTTGAGGGATAATCAATTAAGTCCAAATTGGTTTATAAGTCTAATTAGTTTACACACTACTGTTACCTGACAACAATGAATCTGGCTCAAAAATTACTTCTTAAACAATTGTATCAGTATCATTCATTTACCTTGTACTTTGTAAAATATTTTAATATCTGTCATCTCATGGGAACCTCACAACAACCGTCTTTAAGTAAAGGCATGCTTAGAACAGTTGTGTGTATTTAAATTAAAAATATAATTGAGAGTCTTCCACTCGGCTGAAGATGTCTCTTAAGTGTGATTGAATGTCGTCATTTAATATACGGGCATAATATTTTTGATTGAAAAAAATCTACTTGTATTCACCAAAATCCTGAATTTAGATTTACTTAACGTGTTAGAAAATTTCAGCATTTCATTACCATTTTCTTATACTGTAAGCATAGGTATAGATGAAATGTTTACTATAAGGTAGATATCATGAAATACACATACATAAATAGTAAATGATTGAAGTTAGGTTATTAAATCTTTGAGTCAGTTTCTTCTAGAGTTTTTCAATGTTGGAATGAATCATAATGCCTTCAGTGCCATAGAAAATTTTTAGTATTTTACTTTATTTTAGAAAATGCAGATCCACAATTATAATTCCCAAATCCAGAAATCTCTGAAATGTTTTTCCTACATTTGCAGCAGACTTGTTTGACTGCAAAACTTGTTCTAAATTGATGTGAGACATTTATCCTACTTAGTGTGAAACTTCATAGTAATTATAAGGATGTTAATGTGTTTTTATGGGGTGCTAACTCCCTTCTGGGAATATTTCATAATATAAGGTATGTGCACTCATTATCTTTCTAAAATAAGATTTTGAATTCTGAAACACATCTGAAAGGTTTCACATAAGTGGATATTGATCTGTACCAGTGTTATTTGCATAATTTGTCCCCCTGATATTTTGCTCCTACATTAGGGGTTTAGAAGAAGAACCACCGTAGTTCTTTCAATGGGAGGGAGGGAGAGAGACAGGGAAAAAATTATATGAATAAATTGCTCTCAGTCAATTGCTCTGAACCCAAAGATACCCACTCTGCCCCATCACAAACTTAACAGGGTTGGCAGCTATAGCCAGTATGAACTTCTGAAGACTTGTCAAGAGTAACTGAAGAAGTAATTCAGCTCTCTTCCTTTTGCTTTAGGCACATAGGATCATTTGCTTTAGGAAAACAGAATCATTCATCACTGCTCTTCAGCATTTAGTAGGACTTTTTTTTTTTTTTTTTTTTGCTACTTTCATGTAGACAGTTGATCATGAAGTCAATTTACATAATAGAATGCATTTTAAAATAAGCTTCCTTCGCAAAACTAGCGTGTGAGACAGATACCAAGAGCTTTAAATACAGGTAAATATAGTAGTACAAACAAAAATACAGTGCAGTGGCTGTTTTGTTTGTGGGGTTTTTTTGTTTTGTTTTTGTTTTTCCCTTGCTTGCTTGCTTTCTTTCCCCAAAGCCATAACGGTCTTAGGCCCATTTTTTCACCTTTTTTTTTTTTTTCTTTTAATTGGTAGCTTATCAAAAATCTAAATTTATTTGAAAAATACAGAGAAAGAATAAGTGCATAGTGGTTGAACTTGAAAGCACTCTTGTTCAAGCTTGAATTTACTTTGGTTGTATATTTGTTCCGTTCTTCAGTTTCCTATTTTAAAACTGAAAAACGAAATTATTTGTTTTAGAGATTTTGTTAGATACCCACAAGAAAAATTGCTATTGATTAGTCCTTTCTAATTGTAAACATGTCTACCTATCTTTCAAGCAAAAAGAACATTTTGAGCACTCAGTATTTTACAAATCCAACATTAAAATAAAATTTACAAAGGTAAAAATAAGATTTACAAAAGAAATCTAATCTGGGTACATTATTAGTTTGCAAAGGTCTAGGGTTTTCCTGTTTAGTCACTCCCCATTGAATTCCTTCAGATAGCAAGTCTCCATTGGTACATGTAAAATATGATGATACTACTATTATTGTATTATATTACATTTTTACCAAAAGTCAGTTAACCACATGTACAGATATTTCTGTCATCAAAAGGCTAAATGCCTATGGCATATTCCTATAACCAAATACATCTGTGGTAGTAAAACCTTCCCCAAGGTAATTAAAATACTATCTTTTTAAACTTTATTTGGGTTAGTGAGTGAAGTCAGTTTGTTCCCCTAGCCATTAAGAGATTGTTTTCAAAAATCTGGACCAGAGGTGAATAGGAATAGTTCTGCCTCCTAAATCATGCAGATAAATAATCACAGCAGAGTAACAGCCAAGAAAGGACTAAACACAACACTCTGAGAGCCTCAAGGAAGAAGTCCTTGACTCTTAACTATAGAGACTGGGAAAGGTTTTCTGCAGGAGGTGCCATTTGAGCTAAGGGAGAAGAGTATATAGGAAAGTACTGGCGAGAGACCCTCATTCAACAATGAATTAAACCAAAAAACCAAACCTGTTGCCATCGAGTCGATTCTGACTCTGCGACCCTATAGGACAGAGTAGAACTCCTCCATAGGGTTTTGCTGGCGGATTTCAACTGCTGACCTTTTGGTTAGCAGCCGAGCTTTTAACCACTGTGCCACCAGGGCTTCTTAGAAGTAGTTTATTGTTGTTGAGTAGCCCTGGTGGCACAGTGGTTAAAAGCTCGGCTGCTAACCGAAAGGTCGGTAGTTTGAATCCACCAGCAGCTCCTTGGAAGCCCTAGGGAGCAGTTCTCCTCTGTTCTGTAGAGTTGTTATGAGTTGGAATCGACTCAACGGCAGTGGGTTTGGTTTTTTTTTTTGGTATTGTGTGCCATTCAGTGGATTCCGACTCATAACGACCCTATGTGACAGAGTAGAACTGCCCCGTAGGGTTTCCTAGGCTGTAATCCTTACAGGAGCAGATTGCCAGGTCTTTTCTCCCATGGAGCTGCTGGTGGGTTCAAAACCCAGACCTTTCTGTTAGCAGGCAGCCTAGCACTTAACCATTGCTTCCTGAGAAAGGGTTCATGGGAGGTAAACTTTTTCATAACTTTTATGACTGAAAATCTCTTATCCTTCCTCACTCTTGTTTCCTAGCCTGACTTGGTCTAAAAATTTAGATTAAAAATCATAATCACTCAGAATTTTTAATTCATTCCTCCATTGTAAATCATACTATTTTGAATGTTGAGCCTTTGTAAGACCTCTTCTTTCCTTTCTGGAGGCATGTAGAGCTTTGTTTTCAGTCCTCTGAAATGTCATGATGATTTGTCTTGGGACTACTTTTTGTTATGAAAACTCGTGTTCTTCAATTTTGCAGAATTTTCCTAAATTAATGTTATTTCCCCTCTACTGTTTCTTCTTTCTGTAATTTCCTCCCTCTACCCCTACCCCACTTTATTTTGGACCTCTTGGACTTACCCTGTTATTTTGTCTCTTTTTTCTTGGTTACCATACCTTTTTCATCTTGCTTTAATTTCAGGGATACTCATTTTTTTATGTATTTAACTTTTCCAGGAGTTCTTTTTTGATCTCTGAATTTTTCTTCTTGTTTTAGATTCTCAGCTTGTTTTATTGACATACCTTTTACCTTTCCAAGGATTTGATTTTTTTTTGTTTTTAAATCAGCTTTTGCCTCCTGCATAGTCTCTTGGTTTTGGTCTCTTTCAGTTAGTGCTTTCCTCAGATGTCAGGTGATTCTTGGTTACCTATGCATATTTACCAGTGAGAAGCTAGAAAGCTGGGAAGCTCTGTTTCTATAGGTGGGATTTGTCAAGTGGAAACTTCTCAAAGTGATCTGGTTTGGTCTTTTTCTTAGGGATCCTTTAATTGCAGTATTTTTTAAGGCTGATTAGATTCACCACAGAAAGAGTCTTCAGGTTTGCTGCCTACAGGACAGTCTCGGATCCAGAAGGCTGGAGGTGTCAACATTGAATAAATGGAATTACCCTTAACCCTCCTTTTTGAATATGGCAACCCCCTACATTCGACAATGCCTGGTGTTCTCCAGTTAAGACATTCTCTATCATGTCATCTAACAAATAAGGAGGCAGTCTCCTGCCAGAGTATGGGGGTGGCAAATTGGCCTCGTTGCATGGAAGTGAGAAGGGGCTGTAAGGTTCTAACTGCTTTTTCTTTTAATTTTATTATTGACATATAATGCATATACAGAAAACTGCACAAATTATCAGTGTACAGCTGAATGAATTATCATTCTATGCACAAACCTGTTGTATGCATGCAGGACAAGAAATAGAACATCACATATACCCCCAGAAGCCCCATTCATTCTCCCTTCCAATTACTACCCACTCTGTCTGTAAAGGTAACCAGTATTCTGATTTTTAACACTAAAGAGGATCACTTTTGCCTGTTTTTGAACTTTGTACAAAAGAATCACACAGTGTGTATTGTTGTAAATCTGGCTTTTGTTGAGCATTATGTTTGTGAGATTCATCTATGTTGTAGCATATAGCTGTTGCTCACTCATTTCTATTAATCCACAGTCTATTAATCTGTCCCATTCTACTGTTGATAGACATTTGGGTTGTTCATAGTTTCGAGTTTCTAAGTACGTCTTCAGTGTCTTCAGTGGACTTCCAAGAAATCCTCCTGTTCTTATTCCCATCTTCACCCGTACTTCCAGAGTCACCTAGTGTTGCCACATCCTGAGCCTTATGACAATTCTGCAGTACGCTAAAGGTTACTTCTCTGCTTTCCCTACCGTTAGCTTAGGGTTCAGCTGTCTTGAGTCTGCTAAAGTACTTACCATTTAGTTGCTTTCCTGCCTGAGTTTCCTTCAGTATCTCCTTTCCCACTTTCTTTGTTTTAGTGAGGTTTTTTTTTTTTTAAGCACAATTTTTGTGTGACTTTTGGAAAGAACTTGGGTAAATGCCTTTGTTTATTCCTCCATTTTTAATCCAGTTTGAACTTTATTTTCAATGCCTCATTGTTTGTATTTGATTTCTACTAAGATGTCTTTCTGAGATATGATATCTCTTAACTAAATTACCTTCTTTTGCAGTAAATTTAAGTTAGTAATTACTAAGTATGATAGTATCTTTTTTGTTTATTTTATATTATCTTTTTGAATACTTAAAAGTTATTTTAAACATTTAGTCTAATTCACAGAATTTTTTTTAATAGGGTATTGCTGGAACTGACGTAGCTAAAGAAGCATCTGATATTATTCTCACAGATGACAACTTTACAAGCATTGTTAAAGCAGTTATGTGGGGACGAAATGTCTATGACAGCATCTCAAAATTCCTTCAGTTCCAGCTTACTGTTAATGTAGTAGCAGTGATTGTTGCTTTCACGGGTGCCTGTATCACTCAAGTAGGTGACAGTTTATTTATTGAAACTTGTTATTTTAAAGTAAAAATGTATATAATGTACCTTTTAAAAACAATATTTAAACAAGCAGAAGCTTAATATTTTAGGTTAATTACTACAAGAATGTAATCCTGTTCTGTTCCTTAAGTTTTTAAAATACTAAAGGCTTTCTGAGAATTGCTGAGTCCCTGGATAGTTGTGAATATCTATTAGGAAACATATCTTTTTTAGGATTCACCGCTTAAGGCTGTGCAGATGCTATGGGTAAACCTCATAATGGATACGCTCGCTTCCCTGGCTCTGGCAACTGAACCACCCACTGAGTCTCTTTTGCTTCGGAAACCTTACGGTAGAAATAAGCCTCTCATCTCACGCACAATGATGAAGAATATTTTGGGTCATGCATTCTATCAACTTGTGGTAGTCTTTACACTCTTATTTGCTGGTAAGAATTTTATCTCTAACAAAGCTTCAGCTAATTGATTCTGTTCAAAGCCAGTATCATCTCAGATGTTTTAATGTTACAGTTTTTTGAAAGTAGTTGTTCTGTTCTCAACTCCTTATCTTTAACTTCTCCTCTTTATCAGAGAGTGCTTGGTAAATTTTGGGAGTCAGTATGATAGAAGGTGGGGTAGAGTGTAAAGAGTCCCGATTTCTTGTCCTGGCTCTACCACTAACATAGATACATGATCTTGTACACATCACTATAGTTTTAGGAGCTTCAGTTTTCCTCAGCTACAGAACAAGAGAGTTGTACTAGATAAACACAGGTCCATTCCAACTCTTACTTTCTATGCTGTCATTTAAGATCAAATAAAGGGTCTGGCTGAACTTTATTATTATTTCATACTTCTTTGAAATGTTAAGTTGTTTTGTATGTTAATTACAAAATAGTAACTTTTCATTCTTTCAGGAGAAAAGTTTTTTGATATTGATAGTGGAAGAAATGCTCCTTTGCATGCTCCTCCTTCGGAACATTATACTATTGTTTTTAATACCTTTGTGCTGATGCAACTTTTCAACGAAATAAATGCCCGGAAAATTCATGGTGAAAGAAATGTGTTTGAAGGAATCTTTAATAATGCCATCTTCTGCACAATTGTTTTAGGCACTTTTGTGGTACAGGTGGGTAATTGTCAAAGATAGTTTCAAATTTGATTTTTATGTAGGAAACATCAGGTAAACAGGTGGCTTGTTCCAGAAATTACTTGACAGCTACATGTTTGAGGCTTCTATGTATTACCTCAGTGATGTTTTAAAAAGTGTTTTAAATATCTTAAGTGACACTTTGCCCTTTTCTGAAATTCTAAACGTGAAAAGAGCGTATAAAGCTTGTGTTACTTCAGTTGTACTACTGATTCTATGGTTGTAGTACTTCACACTCTCCGCTTCTAATTGTTCAGTCTATGTCATTATCAAAACTATTATAATTTTGATGATGTTATTTAAAATAGGCTTTAGAGTTATCGCTTTTTCTAGTTTAGCTAAAGTGATCACTTTAGGGCTTCTAGCAGTTAATGCAGTTGTATTTCTGTAATTGAGCTTATTATTAAATAATAACAGTTTTGATATGAATATTTTAAAATCCTGATTCTGAATGACTGCATCATGTGGTACATACCAGTTTTTCATTTTGTAATATTGTCAAAACAAGGCCTAAAGGGAATTGGAGAATGAAGTGTGAGGGGTGGGATTGACATTTGCATGCAATAATTTTATATAACTGTGTACTACATCTGTGTCTTTATGTGGGCTTCAGCTTTATGATAGTCTTCTATACAAATGATGGTTAATGGTAGAATCTGGAATCAAGACAGATGAGTGAATTGTGCATGTTTACACCAGGAGTTAGTGAACAAAATAAGATTTAGAATTAAAAAGTGAGCCTTTTCAACAGTAGACTCATATAGGGACAGTACATGTTTAGAAGTGAAGATCTAAGAATTTTAAACAGTTCATTCAACCTGTACCTTGTGCACTGTGGATACCAGTACCCAAACCCTAGACTTAATTACTTCTGTAAAAACTGTTTTTGTTTTAGCTTTCAATTCCTATAACCTTTAGGGGAGATCCTGCTTATTTGCCATGTATTTTCTGAAAGTATTTCATTTAGATTTTATAAAAACCAATGTTCACAACACACTAAAATTTTAGCTTTTAGTTGTTTTAAAATCAAATTTTATCTGTTTTTAATATATGGGGATTGCAAAATTCAACTGCATATCATCTCTCTGTCAAGCAAATCTGATAACTTAGTTCCCAACAAAGACTAGTATCTGTCAAAGACAGTTAATGTGAAGTGTCATTCTTCATTGCTACTCAAAGTGTGATCTGTGGACCAGCGGCTGTTCCACAGTGAGATAAGGAGTTTGGACCAGAATGTAAATCAACAACAGTTATCACACTGTCTATTTCAGGTCAGGGTTTTATTATTATTGTTGCTGCTGGATTTTTTTTTTTTTTTTTTATTGTTGCTGGTATTAAGTAGTTGTAGTAGAAGTTTCTTGATGAAGGAAGTACTGCATTGATTTACCTTTTAGTGAACGTGCCTTATTGTGTCATGGGCCAGCACTTTGAGTAGCATTGTTGTAGACAGTCAGGTAGGTAGGAAAATGTGACCCTTGATTTACACATACTTCCTTTTGTTGGTTTCTGAAGCAGTCTAGCTAAAGTCTTGATTGTAGATCTGAGGTACTTGGAGAACTTCATCTTATAAATTGTATTAAATTTAATTTCTATTTTATTTAACAGCTGATTCTCATTCTTATCCTTTTTTTGTTAGATCGTGAAGTACATAATAATCCTTAGCTCTTTGTAAATATTTATAGTTTCTGTTCTTCTTTGTAGCGCTTAACACAGAATTATTGTTTTCAGAATATGTTCCAAGAAACACTAAACCCTTGAGTTACTCTTCATCAGATGAAAAGTTTAGGAAGTGTTGCCTATTCTTACCTACCTTTTGGAGATTGTTAAAGCAATATAATTTAGTGCTTATGAATGTGGACTTTGGAGTCAGTCAGCGCTCGGTTCAAATCATTGTGCTGCCTCTTACTAGTTGTATGACCTTATTATAAACTATAGTTTTTTCGTCTATGAAATGGAGATCAGATGTTAGGTCACACCATAGAATTAGTGAAGCATTAAAGAAGACTGTGCATATAAAGCTCTGTACTTAGTGCCTGACAGTAAGTAAACTCTCAAATATCAAGTGCTTTTTTGTTTCTGCCAAACAATTCAAAAGCTTCGAGAAATCCTGCAGTTAGGAAGCCTGTTGAGCTTTTTTAATTCTGCATATTCTATTTAAGGGACAACACCTGATTTCCTCAGTACACATTTAAGAAATGCTTCAGTAGTCCATTTAAATACACAAATTTAAAAAGTACACATCACTGTTTATATTAGTTGTTTAGTATACAATGATAAATAAAATGAGAGAAGTTGAAACTACAATTCTCTGGTACGATGTTGATCCAAGGTATATATTAAGGAATATTATTTCTTCCAACTCTAAAGTGAAAGATAAGTATTTCTTATGAAACTAAACTAGCCAATCAGAATTATCATTGATTTGTTTCTCCAATATTTTAGTATCTTCCTTTTCATAGCCTTTATTATACAAAAAAAGATAAAGTTTAAAACATTTTGAGAGCACACATACAAATCAGTGTTGAACTTTTTTTGTGCTCTTTATTTACTTAGTTTACAAAGGAAAATTATTTTTATATCACTATTAAAATCCAAGTGAATTGTCAGATCAGTTATAATCCAGCTCGTTGAGCTGTTAACAGACCACTTGGGAATACAAGTGTAGAAGTATTCTTGACTTTGAAGAATAGTGGAATTGACAAATACCTACTGTTTGAATTGGAATAAAGTACAATTGCTAGGAATGGAGTTCGTAAATTTTTTTTTTTAGTTTAAAAATGTTAACTACTGAAGTGATTCTTTTTCCTTTAAATGTTTGGCAGCTACTATCTGCCATATGGAAGAGAGGCCTGTCAGACTCACAAGAGGGTGAATATAGTTACTTAACTCTTAATATTCCCATATAGACTGTTTAGGTCTTGTTAAATAGAGAAGTATAAGTACTGTATTATGAATTTTATTTATGTAGATTGTTGGACTTGACTCTCTTTATAAGGGAGAGCAAACTTCTGAGGAGATACCATCTGAATTATCACATATTTCATAGAACTTTGCAAGTTGCTTCTCCTCTCTTTATAGTCCATTCATATTTATCCTAACATCAAAATGTTATCTAGGAATGAACAGCTATATGGGGAAAAAAAGATTGAATGTTATGTCCACTTTCCTATAACATATGGTCTTTTCCACAAAAGTACACTAGCTTTTGTAGAAAGGCGTAAATTATTCAAAGAATTATACTAAATACAGGGGAACATAATTACTCATGATTTCAGTTGGAAATAGTGTAAGTTACTCTTCTTAGTCATAAGAATTTTTTTTTAATTTGTTATTTAAGCATAATTAAAATATACATGAATTTAATATTTTGGGTAGAGACTTTATTTCATTTGTCTTATATTCACTTGCAAATATTATAATACACTTAACCATCACAGTAGTGGTTGTTCAGCCATTGTTTTGGAGGACACAAATTTACATGTTTTTAAAAGTGTTAATTTAATTTAAAGATTTCAATGAATTTACTCTTGATTATCCCTCTAGATAATAATTGTGCAGTTTGGTGGAAAACCTTTCAGTTGTTCAGAACTTTCAATAGAACAGTGGCTATGGTCAATATTCCTAGGAATGGGAACGTTACTCTGGGGCCAGGTAAAAATCTCATTATTTGTTTAAACCTAAAGTGATTTTTTAAATTTCTAGTATGTTATTTTCTTTAATCAGTTTTGTTATTTGATGCTAAGTAGTTAACCAAGAAAGGCCATTTATGGATTTGTTTTTTGAAAATGTAATATTTGCTCCAGTATGTCATCTGCTTTTTATTGTAATTATGCCTGTACATATAAAAGACTATTTTAATTTTTTTAGTAGTTTTTAACTTGTTTTTTAGAATGAGTTTTACTTTATTAAAGATGATGTGTTTACAACCGGTTAGGATGCTAATATCTATCTATTTTGCTCCATGATCTATTCTCATACTTTTGGAATAATTTGTTTTACAAAAATGTAAAATTATTTTTTACGTATGACTTTTTATGACGGTGTTATATAATTTAATCCAAAACATAGCATAGGAAAAATCTCAAGCTTCAGTTAAAGAATGTTTCTTTTAAAATAATGGTATCTGGAAAAAGTGGCCCACAAAGTGACTTTTTAGATTATTTGGGTTGAATGACTTTAAAAGTATATATATATCCTAAAAATGAGATTTATGTCACTTTTACAGTAGGTAGCTTATTAGCAAATATTATGTCATTATTATTTTAAAGTCAAGTAAGTGATAATGTAGTGTGCATAGCTCATTTTGAGCCCATTACCATTACTAAAAAACTAGCTGATTGAGAGTCTACTAACATTTTCATAAGTTAACATGTATATTGGTATATAACTTTTGTGAATGAATTCATTGTTCTGCACGTCAGTCAAACCAAACATCCAGGTTTTACTTAAACTTGGCTCAATTTTTATATACCTTCTATCTTATCTTTCTTTATTGTATTTCTAGGTTCTGAGGTTTCTCATCTTACTCATTTTGAAGACCTCATTAATAGAGATCTTTTAAGTAGGATCCGTACTTGCATCACCTTTCTCTTTTGACCATTTAAATTATTTTATAAGGTTCCCCCATGGGCAGAACAAATGTCACAACTTCCCAAAATATTTGTCTGACTTTGTTGTTGTTGTGGTATGCCATCGAGTTGATTGCGACTCACAGCGACCCTGTAGGACAGAGTGGATAGAACTGCTTCATCGAGTTTCTTTGGCTGTAATCTTTACATGAGCAGATCGCCAGGTCTTTTCTTCCGCGGAGCGCGGCTGGTGGGTTTGAACTGCTGACCTTTCGGTTAGCAGCTGAGTGCTTATCCATTGTGCTACCAGGGCTCCTACCTTTCATCTCAGCTTTTTCTTTATTGTATTTCTAGTTTCTGAGGTTTCTTACCTTACTCATTTTGAAGACCTCATTAATAGAGATCTCCTTTTAAACAGGATCCATACTTGGTTCCCCTTTCTTTTTTGATTACCATTTTAATTATTTTGTAAGGTTCCCTCATGGGCAGAACAAAGCCCACAACCTCCCAAAATATTTGGCTAACTTTAGAAAGAGGAAATTCCCCTGTCAATATAGTATACTCAGTGGGCTTCGGTTATGCTCTTTGATTGACATCTTCTGTTGATTTTAAGTGTGCCATGGTAGAAAAAGCACTGACTTTGATGGTCTGGAGACCCAGGGTCTTAGTCAGTCCATGTGGCTCCATATGGCCCTGAGCCTGTCTCACCTTTATGAAATTAGAAGGTTTGACTAGCAGTTCTCCAAGCAGTTCTGTATGTGACTGCATGCTTGCTTCCTCCTGATAAGCCATATTTCCTTAAGGGATGACCATAAATAATTTTAAGCTAATACATATTTATTGGTGTTTTGTATCCTTTATGCTTGGGGGCATCTATTCCTATTTGATGTCATTGTCAATCAGTGTTAATCCAATTCTAAATGGTTACATTTCATTAAAAAAAAAAAAATAAGTTCATTTAATAAACAAAACTGTTTCCAGTTTAAGATTGAAGCTTTTTTTAAATTTAGGTATGTTTTTCTCATTAACTGCACAGCACTAATATAAATTTGTTTTGTAAGACCTCCTGTCATTTGCATGTTATTTTGAATAAATGTAAGTAATAATAGTTTAAATAAATATATCAAGGCACAGTGGTGTAATTTACTCTCTTGTATGTCGTAATTAAAATTTGAAAAATATAATCAGGTTAGTTTCCATTTAGGGAAACTTTTTACCCATCAAACTTAAATCATTTGTGTAGCTAACAGAAGATTATCTTTTTTTCTTGGAAAGTAAGCCTAATCAACAAGATCTTTTACTTCATTGGTAAAGCGAGTTGGATATGCCTGCAGTTTGTAATACCTTTTGTATTAAAGTTGATTGGTTTAATTTCACTTGATAGGATTTGTTTCTAAGTTCTTTCCCCTGTGTTGTAGCTTATTTCAACAATTCCAACTAGCCGTTTAAAATTCCTAAAAGAAGCTGGTCATGGAACACAAAAGGAAGAGATACCTGAGGAAGAATTAGCAGAGGATGTTGAAGAGATTGATCATGCTGAAAGGGAGTTGCGACGTGGCCAGATCTTGTGGTTTAGAGGTCTAAACAGAATCCAAACGCAGGTATGGGCCTGGTAGAGAGGTAGGAGAGATGACGGGAGCCAAGAAGGGCTTTTTGACCTGGGGAGGAGATTTGAGCGTGCTCTTTAACTTCTTTTCTAGCCTTCCCAACCCACAAAACTTACTCTTTTGAAAAATTGTACTGGTGACTGGAATGAGCAAAAGTTTTAATGGTCGTGAAAGAAGGTGTCTATATTCCTCTAAGCTACTTTTTTCCTAGCTTTTTCCCCCTTCATCTCAAAATGCTATTCTTGCCTATTTATCTGCTTTATAAAAAGTGCCTTTTTCTTTACTTTTTATATGTTAATAGATGGAATGGTTCTTTCTCTTGTTCTCTCTCTCTCTTGCTGAGCAAGCTGTCACAATCTCTGATTCCTTGCAGATGGATGTAGTGAATGCTTTCCAGAGTGGAAGTTCCATTCAGGGGGCTCTAAGGCGGCAACCCTCCATCGCCAGCCAGCATCATGATGTAACAAATATTTCTACCCCTACACATGTAGTGTTTTCCTCTTCTACTGCTTCTACTACTGTGGGGTGTGAGTGTGTGTTCCTAAGTGCATGAAATTAACATTTCCTACTTCACACCTAACGTTTCTCATTTTCTCCTTAATGTTTAAATTCATTGTTCAGGCTTTTCATAAAGCTTTCTTTTCGTAAAGTGGATTGAGACCTCAAAGTGTTGTCGTTGTTGTTGTTTTATTTCTTAGAGGGCTAGATAACAGATGGAACAATTTGCAACCAAAGCTTAGATGTGAAATCTGTGAGCTTGTCTCTATGCTAACTTATAGTTAATATGGGGAATAAAATTGTAGCTTAGAATTTGTGAAACTACTATAAATTTTTGAGTATATGCCTTTAAACATGTTCATACTGCATGGTTCCCAGAAGCATGTGATTTGAAACTGATCTAACAGAACAAGGAAATTTTATTTTTGAAGCTAAAAATGAATTTATTTTGACTTTTGTGTTTCTCAGTCTGGAAAAGTAAGTTAGTAGCCTAAATAAAATAGCAGTTGCTTGCTTTTGTTTGCCTTGCTTTGGATTTTTTTTTTTTTTTTTTAGAAGAAGGTCTCTGTATAAACTTTAAAGTTCTATGGTGTTTGTTTTCATTTGAATCATCAATGTAATTTAAAATCACACCATAGATAAGAATACTCTGCCATCTTAAGTTTTCAAAAAAAAAAAAGTGGGAAAAGTGTACAGTTGATTAATTACTGAACTATTTAATGTCTGTAATTTCCATTAATTAACTAGAATAACAGACTTTTTAGGTTTTGGAAAATGGCACACCTCCCTAAAAGAATTATAATCTGTTATCCTTACTCTGGATTAGTGTTCTGATTTCATGGTGGATTCTTAGTATTTCGGAAGCACTAAAGATATAAACCTGTCCCCTGCCGCCACCCAAGAAGTCTACTCCGGCACCTAAGGTTAACTTTGTATTGGGCAGAGGCCTACCTTTTCCACATTTGGTCTCCAGCCAGTTAAGAACTGGAGGAACCTTGGGAAGCTGTAGACTGAGGGAGAAAACAGTACTGTTTTGAGGAAGACCATTTAGTCAATGTCTGTCTGTTCACTGTATGTTTCAGTAACTTTCCAGAAGCCTTTCTGGAAGTCAGAAGAGGTCAAATCCTATGTAATAAAAATGTTTCCTTATATTTGACAATTTTCACAAGGTTTTATAGTTTTCAAAAGGCTCAGTCAGTTACTTCATTTGATATTTTTAGCAATGTTGTAAAACAGGCAAAACAAGAGCTATCCCCATTTTACAGGTGTGGAAACTGACTTGGTGTTTAAATGACTTGTCCATGGTCACATGGCTAGTAAGCAAAGGCAGCATGATATAGGTCAAGAGCAGACAAGGGCTCTAAGGACAAACTGCCTGTAACATTAGACAGGATGTTAAATTTACAAGTATATGCTTGTATGACTCTTTCTTTGTAATATTAGCATGGTAACACCTACCCCAGTGAGATGACAAATATAAATTGCCTGGCCTTAGGCCTGTTGTTTTTGTTGTGTGCCATCGAGTCAGTTCTGACTCATAGCGACCCTACAGAACAGTGGAACTGCCCCCATAGGGTTTCCAAGAAGCAGCTTGGTGGATTCAAAGTGCTGACCTTTTTTTTTTTTTTTGGTTAGCAGCCTGAGCTCTTCACCACTTTGCCACCAGGGCTTTGGCCTTAGGCCTAGTACAGTAAATTCAGTTGCCTCCCTCTCTCCCTGGATTTGAATTTTACACTATACTGGCTTTCAAGGGCTTCTTACCACCCAAGCCTTCATGCCCTACATTAGCGTTTCTGCAGTTATGTTCCACAAACATTTATGGAGAGCCTGCTGTATGTCAAGGCTGTTCTAGAACCTGAAGTCTAGTGAGGGAAACAAGTAGCTAGAAATTTCTACATAGCAAGAATTACAGAACAGAATAATATTATTACAGGGGATGGTCTTTAATCTGCCCTGGGAAATGACTCCCAAGCTGACCCTTGATGGAATCTGCCAGTTGAGGAAAGTGGAGTGTGCATTCCAGGTCTCAGTAATTTGTTTGGTACTAAAGAGTAATAAAATGTGAGGGGTTGATGAGGCTGGAATGGAAGATAAGGTCTATTCATATGCTACATGAAGGAACCAAACTAAGACTTTATCCTGAAAGTCCCCCCATCTTGAAACCATGTACCTGGGTTTGCAAACACTTCTTAGTATTTTATGACATCTGCTTTATCTTTCTATATACTAATATATATTTTTTTGTTTTTTTGCTGAACCATTTGAAAGTAAATGGTAGACATCATGACGTTTCATCCCTAAGTACTCAAGTTCATACCTCCTATGGATAAGATGTCTCTTATATAAACACAGTATTTTATCACATGCAGGAAATTTAACATTGATACTATATATTATCTAATTTACAGCCCATAGTCAGATTTTCTCAGTTGCCCCTAAATGTCCTTTTATGTTTTTTGATTCAGGATCCAAGAAAGGATCACTGGTGGTGTTACGACTCTTGAAGACTAAAGAACCAGGATCCATTCCTGCCTTTATTTTTTGACATTGACCTTTTTAAAGAGTCTAGGCCAGTTATCTTAGAGCATTCCACAGCCTGGGTTTGTCTGATTATTTTCTCACAATTAGCTTCAGGTTAAACTTTTTTGAGAAAGATATCTCATGAGTGATGTATATTTTGTTCATGTTTATTAGAGCAACGTTTGAAATAATCAACTCATTCTTTTTTATTTGGGGAGGGTATCATATATACACCTTATAAACATATATACTTTTGGTATACTCTATTTTTCATTTAATTATGTTCCTGATTTTATCTTAAATGTCAGATTGATCACAGACTGTTTCTCTCACACACACACACACACACACACACACACACACACACACACGTATATGTGCCCACACACTCACATGCCCCAGTCTCTCCTCTGCACACTGTGTATGAAAATCTCTTGAGTTGCTGGGATATGAGGCTAGGGCCGTAGCTGATGATGATGGAAAGGTAAGTTTAGGCCAGACTGATGCCAGCCTAAGATCTGTTGGCCTGGGGAGCTAGCACTCTGTTCCTGGGGCACCCTTCAGAGAATGGCAAGGGAGGGTTTGTAGGTGTTTCTCCATCAAGGTTTGAGATGTTTACTTCTTCACTCTATATTGTGTTTTTGGAACATGAGGTATCCAAGGACTATATCATATAATGTATGTGAGATAGTTACTATTACACACTAACAGTTACAGCAATTGTATTGCTGTTACCATAATTTTCTTTCAACCTTGCTTGTGGTGCATTGTCTTAGATGGCACAAAACATCAGCCAGTATATATAATTAATGGATAATGTTAATATGTTTGATGAAACAGTCCTCACTGTGTTCCTGCCCTAATGTAGAAATATTTGTGAACGTCAGACTTCTTGGACTGTTCCTGGAGTCCTTGCTAAATGGAAGAAATAATTATCCATTTTAACTTCATCAATTACTAGGCTTGAAACCACTCTGGAGAGGTCATCTTTGTTCCCCTTATTTATTATTCAGATCTTTACTATTAAAGGTCTCTAGAGAAAACATTCTATAGTTTTTATTTATAAGGTATATTATTCTACTATCAGTCTTCACCATTAGTAAATTTTTTTGCTGAATCAACAGCTAGCTAAGCCTGCCTGGAAGACAAATTGAGGGAAAGACAAATGTGTCTTCTAGGTGAGTGTGGCTGTGTTCCAATAAAACTTCTTTTTTCAAAAACCGGTATTGGGCCAGGTTTGATCCACAATTTTATTAGAACACGGCCACGCTCATTTAAGTATTGTTATTGGCAGTTTTTGCACTATACAGGCAGGGTTGAGTAGTTGTGACAGAGACTATAATATAAGCCTAAAATATTTACTGTCTAACCCTTTACAGAAAAAATTCGCTGACCCCTGTTCCAGATAATTCAAACATTACAAATTACACAGGTGGATCTCACTTTGAGAAAATTTAATATACAAATACCCAACTTTGGAAAAAAACCTAAGATTTTCTTTCGTGTTTTCAAGTATCTTTTGTTTTACCATTGCAGTTATTTTAGTTAGTACATGATGAAAGTAATAATGAAAACAAATTTCGGAAATAGGCAATCGGTTGTGTAAAGTAAGATATATCAGCTAGTGATTAAACAGCATAGTGTTTTAGAGCTGTCTCCTTTGATATCATATTTTGGACAATTGTTTGTTAATACTTTCTACTTTCAAAGGTTAGGGTTGTATTTAGGAAAAATGAGTGGTTTTACAGGGTACATGACCTGGTTTTGATTAGTTTCTTAAGATCACCTTATGATTATAATGATCATTTCAGGTTTTTTTGTTTACTACATGTTCTTCATATATGCTTTCCTCAGATTTTTTTTGTACTGGATAATTTAGACGTTAAAATTTTTCTTGACATATGAATTAATTGAATTTTTCTTTAATTTTAAGAATCATGATGTTGGTGCATAGTGGTTCTTAGTAGACATTAAAAGAATAAAGTAAATGTAAAGCTTGAATTGTCAAGAATGGGTAGTTAGGGTTACTTCTCACATTTCTGCTTAAACTGAATTCTTTGTGGTATTGATATAGTCTCCTACCTACCTAAGGTATCTTCAGAGTTACTACTGTATTGTGAGAATTTGACATAGAGAAGGAAATAAAAATCAGCAAGTGTAAGCTAGCTCAATGTCATGCCTAAGATCGGGAATGCTTGCTTATTTCTGTTCTTAAAGTAGAAAGTAAAAGGAATCCGGTTCATTGACAGTAAGTTAATCTAGATTTTGTTGTGTATCTATGAGAACTTTGAAAATTGTATTGCTTTGGAGCATTGCTAAGCCATCTTTTTACTGTGCTGATACCAACTACCAGTCAGCATGTGACTTAAGAAGAGTCAGAGGAAGGAAGTATTAACCTTAATCTCACAAGATACTGCATTCTATTAAGTAAATGTTCATATGGTCATATGTTCTATTCTTATATTGACTTCCAAGGAACCTGGAATTGAGAGTTCAGAAAACTTGTTTCTGAGACTCTTTGACACTAATTAGGAGTGTCCTTGACAAGTCAATCACCCATCCTCTCAATTACTCAGTTTCATCATTTATACAGTGGTGAGAATAAAGTCTCATGTCCTTTCAAGCTGTGAAGTTCTAGGATAATTTAGTTAGTGTGTTTTTTCCTGATAGGAAGAATTCTTTCTAGAATATTTGGGATAAAAAGTTTAATCTGATTTCATCAGCCACAGGTGTATGTGTGTACACACAAACTTCTTGCCTCACCTGCTCACTCTTTACACTGTGCTTCTCTTAGAGCTTTGTAAACTCCTAAATCTGTAACATGACCTCATACCACTCTCCTGAGTTTTAGATGTTTTTACTTGTATGTTCTGCAGCTTTAACATGTTCAGAAAATGCATTTGTTTCCCCCTTGATTCTTTAACCACTCACTCTCCTCTGCCCAGACTGGTACTAACAAAACAAAACATAGAAACGACAGAAAATTTTAACTATTTCTCTAGTTCTGTTAGCAGCAGTACCAGCAGCCTAGTCAAATAAGCAGCCTTTTGAGGGTCATCTTCAACAACTCTCATCACCAATTATGTTTGCTACCTGGTCTACTTGAATCTCTTTGCAGTGTGTATTCTCCTTCATTCCTACTGGTCACTGACATCAACAGATTTTTTTTTTTTTTTTTGAGGAGGTTATTTTTTTAATTTTTTAATACTTTTAGCTAAATATTCACGTGTATAAAGTGAATTATAGGAGGATTTCACAGTAAATAATGAAGTGTATAACAGTGTATTTAGCAAGCATTGTTTTACATACTATACGTAAAACACTTTACATCTTAGTAAAGGAGGAACAAGAGCGGTAAAAGAAATAGAAAATGTGCTTGCTGCTATTAGTCTGTCAAATTAAGGAAGTATAAACACATGAATAGAATATAATTACAAAATAGCATATGATAAAGTAGCAAGATAACTTAGAGTAGATGTTTACTGCTCTAAGTATGGTTTGTGGAGCATCAGCATTAACAGCGCTGGAGGGCTTGTTGGAAATGCATGCCCAGGTGATTCATGGGCACATTAAACTCCAGGAACACCTGGTATGGATACTTAATGGAGCATTTGTGAGCCAGCACTAAGTCTGTACATGTATTAATCTCCTAACAACCTCATAAGGTAGGTACCATTGCCATTTCCCACTTTATAGCTGAGTAAACCTTTGAGATTTACATAGTTTTCCAGGGTCCCTCTGCTAGTAAGTGGCAGAACTGGAGTTCACACCCAGATATTTTAGCTCTGTCATCCTCACTCAACTCTGATGCTGTACTCTATAAAAAAAAAAAAAAAAA